AATCTTATTTATTAGGTTAATAGCACATATGGCATCGTTGCAGGCCTCCCTATAATGGACTAGTTTGGTCTGGATAAACTAGGTGCCTCATACCAAGTATAATAAATGTTGCTAATGATTTTTAATTGCAATTTTAAAGTCAAATTGGATAATAGTTCAGTGTCTATGCCTTGCTTTGGAATGACTGTGAAAATTATGCAAATCATTTGTGGTTGAAAGGGAATTCCATGAGTTATAGAACAGTGGAAATTCTTCTCTGCTATGTTCTGTTTTTGTAACATAACTTGTTAAAGGACCACTATAGTGCCAGGAAAACATACTCGTTTTCCTGGCACTATAGTGCCCTGAGGTTGCCCCCACCCTCAGGCACCCCCTCCTGCCGGGCCCTGGGGAGAGGAAGGGGTTAAACTTACCTCTTTCTCCAGCGCTGGGCGGGGAGCTCTCCTCCTCCTCTCCGCCTCCTCTGCTCCTCTTCGGCTGAATGCACATGTGCGGCAGGAGCTGCGCACGCATTCAGCCAGTCTCATAGGAACGCATTCATAATGCATTCCTATGGACGCTTGCGTCTTATCACTGTGATTTTCACAGTGAGAAGCACGCAAACACCTCTAGCGGCTGTCAATGAGACAGCCACTAGAGGCTTTAGAGGCTGGATTAACCTATTTATAAACATAGCAGTTTCTCTGAAACTGTATGTTTATTTAAAAAAGGGTTAATCCTAGCTGAACCAGGCACCCAGAACACTTCATTAAGCTGAAGTGGTCTGGGTGCCTATAGTGGTCCTTTAATTTGCCTTTCGTTTATTAGAAACTCTAGCCAGCATACAGCCAGACGTATTTCCTTATTTAGAAAAAATGCTTACAAACTTTCCTAACTGATCTGCAAGGCCTAAAATGAAGAAGAAAGTTCACTAGTGCGTTGAGACTATAGACTATATTATACAATTCTCCACATGTCTTATTAGCTAGTAAAGATTTATGATTGTTTTTGTTTTCTAGGTCACTTATCTGTTATGTTTTTATTCTCTTGATCTCTGTTGAATAAAAACTACCTTAAAGACACCTGTTTTTCTCATAGATAGGTAGAAATGAAAACTTCAAGTGAATCTGTTTTCACATAAATGATTTTGTACAATGTTACAAAGTCCTTCCTATACAGAAGGATCATGAATAGGGCTACATTCAATGTCAATGTTTTTCTTGAGAGCAGCTTCGTAGAGAGTATTGTGTGATAAATTACATGGCAATTACTAAACCAGGTATTTATACTTTTTAGAAGAAGTAGGGAGAAAAATGTAATTTAGTCATTAGCCAGGCTACAAAAAGTGTAAACTTGACATCTAGTGAAAGTCGTGCTCTTAAGTATTCTTTTAACCTCAATTCTTATTAAATTAACCCCGTATTCTTTGTGACTGTACTGAACAGAGAGGGAAGAGAGAGGATGAACTGGTGTCGATACACTGATCTAATGGGTTGTTAAAATAAAGTCCTTGTTGAAAATTCCCCTTATGAAATTTTTTCACCTTACTCCTAATTCCTTTTACGTCTACCTGCTGTTTCTTCTTTTGCAGGCATTTGGAAGAAAAGTGTATACAACATCTATACAGTGACCCTTAACAAAGAAGTAATCTCACTCTATACCGGTAGTGACAAAAGAGATTAGAAAAGAGAAAGATTTATTTATTATTTTATTTAATGCTACTAAAAAAGGCTGGTGATTATCATAGGTCTTTAACCTCTTAAGAACGAATGATGGAATTATTCCACCGTGGGGGTCCTATCCTTCAAGACCTATGACAAAAAAAAATCTATCTTGCTAATTTTTGCAAGCAGGGAAAGTTTCAGGGGCACTTTTTCTTATACTGGAAGATGGTCAATCATGCTACAGGATGTATTGGAATGCTTTGTTCTTATCCAGGTGGAAGGGGTGAGTGAGAATTGACCATCTTTTAGTGTGAGAAAAAAAACTGTGCCCTAGCAACTTCTTCTAACTACATCTGCAGAGGTAACTGGTACTGCAAAAATCAGTCAGGCAGGGCAAAACAACAATAAAAGGGGGGCATCATCAGCAAGGGTAGTAATTTAATTTTGTTTGAGGTGGGTGAACAAGGGAATAACAACCACCACCACCACATTTGAAAATTTATTTTTATTTGAATAAAAAAAAAAAAAAAACTTGCCACACTCAATGCAGGCAGAGTTTACTTGTGCAGTAAACTGCAGACACACACTTTGTATATTACTAAGGAACGAAGCTTGCAATTTCCAAAGCACAAGCAGTGGAAAAGAAGCAAACTGCAGTGCACATCAAATAATCTATCTTACTATAAATAAAATTAAAGTTCCGATAAATAAAGAAATTCTACATCAGTAAATCAAAGCGGCACTGGAAGTAGCATCTAGGCAAGAGGAACTTGTTTGATTCATCCCAGCACTAGTGAGAGGAATCTTCACTTGCCCGCTACTCACTTCTTTGTCACACAGTTTATACATTGAGAGCTGGCCTTCCAGAAGGCACTCAGAATAGTCCCAAAGTTTGTTGAGTTGGTGCAACAAGGTAACCCTGCCTTGTGTCTGTTGAAGGAACAGGTGGATTTGCATCAGAGGCAGTGAAGTTGTTTCAACACTAGCCTGTAATATAGTAGCACTTGGCTGATTACTTCTAATGGAAATGTTTATGGTGAAATGTTGAAGGTGGTATTGGTGGTAGTAGCAATGGTAGTGATGGTATCACTGACAGTGGGTGTAAGGATTAATATGAGTGACTAGTTCCTGAAACAGTTAATGTGAAACTGACTAAAATTTCATCACTGAAATGTTTAATGTATAACTCTGCTATCTTCTACTTTGCCAGGCCTCTGTTTCTTAGAATGTTCAATTTTATCTCAGTAAATGACTCACACTGTCCTATTCTGTTTCTAGCATTAATTGACATAATCAAACCAGGAGCCGTATATGCATTTCTACAAAACCTTGTTCCACCATTAAATGGGTGGAGTATCTCTGAACGACATGTTGGCCTAGTGATTTGTTCCCCAAGCATGCTTGAAAAGGTTCAGAGAGAAAAAATACATCTATAGCAAGCCAGTGGATGGATGTGGTCTGTCACTAACAAGGAACAATTTTCTAACAATGGATGATCCATAAGTGTCGGTGGTAGCAAGGGCACCTGATTTCTTAAATGTCTCCGATAGACGAGGCAAATATACAGATTGACTTGTGAATAAGATTCAGGAGGCAAGTGAAAAAGTTGCAGAAAACATAAAGGGCTTCTACCTGCTCTCTTTAGACTACTCTTTTTATTCTTCTGGCTCATCAGCTGACTCATAGTCTAGTAGCTCCTTTACCAGAGGTAAAAGTGCTATGTCTGCAGGAGTAGAGGAAACAATTATTATCACTTATTTCAGCACAGCCACCTGCACCAGAGATTAGGGACACAGCTTTGTTCTCTATGCTAAGTCTCCACTGGTGGCACAGCCAATGTGAACATATAACATCACTGCTGGTCTCCCTCCCTCGATAGTTGAAGTCAAAGTGTCTAGACAAATGCTACTCAGAAGTAGTGTTGTTTTATTGTTCTTTCTATTTTTGTACTCTCTTGGTCAATTCACTTGATCTGTGAATAAATTAATCATTAGTAGGATAATTTACTAAAGTGAGATTTCAAGCTGAATTCAAAGTGTATCTAAAATTTAAACCCAGAGTAGCTAAATGGAAAGCATAGCTAACTTAAAGGACCACTATAGTGCCAGGAAAACATACTCGTTTTCCTGGCACTATAGTGCCTTGAGGGTGCCCCCACCCTCAGGGACCCCCTCCCGCCCGGCTCTGGAAAGGGGGAAGGGGTTTAAACTTACCTTTTTCCAGCGCTGGGCGGAGAGCTCTCCTCCTTCTCTCCTCCTCCGTTCCGCCCTGTCGGCTGAATGCGCACACGCAGCAAGAGCTGCGCGCGCATTCAGCCAGTCGCAAAGGAAAGCATTTACAATGCTTTCCTATGGACGCTGGCATGCTCTCACTGTGAAAATCACAGTGAGAAACACGCAAGCGCCTCTAGTGGCTGTCAATGAGACAGCCACTAGAGGAAATAGGGGGAAGGCTTAACCCATTCATAAACATAGCAGTTTCTCTGAAACTGCTATGTTTATTAAAAAATGGGTTAACCCTAGCTGGACCTGGCACCCAGGCCACTTCATTAAGCTGAAGTGGTCTGGGTGCCTAGAGTGGTCCTTTAAGAGAATTTTTTCCAGCTTGGGTATTATGACCTAAAACTTTAAATTCCTTTTTGAATTCACCTTGAAATTTCACTTTAGTGAATAACCCTGTCAATGACTGTCCCTTAACCACTAATCATCTTTATTTGCTACCTCTTGATTGGAAAGGAAATCCAGACCCATGGTCGGGAAGAGCTTTTGTCTATTATGTAAACTAATCTGCTTTCTTGCCCCCACTCAAAAAAAGTTCTTCTCCATTCCATCCCTCATTTTTCTGGTGCCAGGAACATCACTCTGAATCAAGAAACAAACCAAACATGTTTGGGCTTATGCTAGTCAGTTCCCTAGGATTCTGGCACATGGCAGATTGATAATCATAATTTCTTCAAATTACCCAATAGTTCCAAATTTGCATTTTGGTCCAAAGGGAAGTATAGTTTCAGGTTGACAGTTTGTCACATCATATCAGGTAGTGAAAGGGCTAAGTTCTTAATAATTTTGTGTTTTATACAATAGTATTACATAAAATAATTGGAAATAATTTCATAATACATATACCTTGCCCACATACTGTGTATCACCTATGTATTCTTCAAGCAAGAAAAACTGGTTCCACATCCAGCTTCTTTTTGAACGTTGCAACAGCTTTGTTTTCTTCTCATTGGTTAAATGTTGCTGGGATCTCGCATCCAATGGTGTTGTATGAACAATAATGATAAAATTAGCACACATTATCAATGGCAAATTTAAATAAATCTTCATTATTTGTAATTCTATGTCAAAATGTCCCAGTCAGAATTTCATGTGTCTTCTCTGTTGTTTTCTGCAATGGGAAACAAACATAGCAATTTACAAAATTTTTAGAAGACTTTTAGACAGTCAAATACATGCACAAAAATATCATATCCAGCTATTTTAGCAATAACAGTTCTCCAGCATACAGATATGGATGTCAGCAATTAAGTAACATATTTCCAGTAACATGTAGCAACCTTCCCGCATCATGTATTAAAGAAGCACTATACATATATATATATATATATATATATATATTCTTATTTAAATTTTAATCTGGTCTTTCTGCAGCCATTGCTTTTGCTGAGATGCTTAGTGATGATGATTTTAGCCAATCCAATGCTTTCCCACACTGCTCCAATCAGCATCGTCTGATAGGGATGCATTCACTCAACTTCTATAGGATGTGCTTGGTGTCTTCAGGAAGGAGTTGAACAGCAGTCATGGAGACTGCACGGACACAACAGGAAGTACCTCTAGTGGCTGTGTAACAGTCACAAGAGGTGTCCTTAATTAGTAAGAAACAAAAACAATGTTTTTTTTATTGTTTTTACACTGTAGGGACAGTCTATTTGCACTAAAACCACCACATAAAGCTGTACTGGTGCTGGTGTTTAGAGTGTCCCTTTCACAACTTTGGTACAAAATCAACATGGATAGAATCATCCAGACTCTAATTCTGACACTCTCTTATGAGTAGATTCATGTTTAATGAGCAGCTGCATCTGTTTGCTAAACAGGAAAGGCTAAATTCAGTGTCTAATGAGCCAATATAGCTGCTAGGCACTCTTGCAAAGTTACACTTAGGAATTTTGCAGTTCGCTATATGTTCCTTGGAGTTTTACAGAAATTCTAATGAAGCTAACAAATAGTGCTAACTCTTACTATTTGAATATGTTTCATGTCAGAATAAATTACTGCATCGGGCTGAGTGAGCCCAAACCTTGTTTTGACAATTTCCTTTATTATTACAAGTAGATAGGGGATTATAATACTTGAAGGATGACTATAGTCAACATATAAAAGCAAGAAAGGCAGGTCCCCTAGACTTTTTTCTTGTTTTTATATTAGTTTGCCATTAAAAATAAATAAATTCAAGCCCTTTTTATCATATAAACTTACCTAAGTTCCAGCGCCAAGCTCTTCGGCAGGCCACGCCCCCTTTTTTCATCAGAATGACAAAATAGCAGGGCTCAGGCGCTTCTCTTTCAGTAGGGTCATCGCTTTATGGTGCACATGCATGGCTTCGCGCTGCACCAATCAGGTTCTTCAGAGAGTGACACTGAATGCCGCTCTACGAATTAACTGAGCGCTCTACTGTGCATGTGTACAGTATGCACGTTCGCGAGCTGACTGACAGCTCACTGTTTATACCTGCCCCCCTCCTAAGGCAGCCCTTCTAAGCCAAAAGTGTGTATTTCTATATATAGTGTTTGTATAAAAACACACACATTTTAAATAAATATTGTTAAACATACACACACACTCTATTTCTATCTAGCTATCTGTATCCATCTATTTCTAGCTATTTATATCTATCTATTTCTCTCAATCACACATTCACACACTAACAGCACGTTGGATTCGGAAAAGAACAGTAAGAGTGTATGGTGTAGCTCAGCTGTAAGAGATACAAGAGAGGCAGACTAACATTAAGGCATTAAGGGATATTATTAAGGCATAAAGGAATGTGTGTCTAACGCGTGTGGTTACAAATACGTGTCGGTTAGTCTACCCATTGTACAGCGCTACGGAACTTGTTGGCACTTTATAAAAAATAATATTAAAACAACTTTTGTTAAAAATAATCTGAAAAATGATTTTAAAACAAAGATAATAAATAGTGACACTTATCACAAGAAAATTTAAATGTGTTCTTGTTATCCTATCCATCTCATGATGACTATTGCCAGAAACTGTAGAGCAGTGTCACAGAAACTTATGAGAGCAAATACTGTACTGAAACAAAGTGATACGTCAGTGAGATTAAATTATACTGTTTATCATAGAGTGTCTAGAAAGAGCACAGATACAAAGGAGTAGTAGCGAAGAATGAACCCAGACCGAGAGAATAAATAAGGAATTGCATCCAGAAGAAGAAATCAAACTGTCCTTGGCTGTAGGTTCACCTGAGCGCAAATCACATTAAAAATACTGTGTTGAACAACGTTTCCCTGCTCTAGGTCAAAGTATGCAAGATAATGACATGAAAGCAAAAAAGAGATAGTGAATGCTGGTCAGCGCCCAGAAAATGACTATGCCACAGTAGCATCACTATAAATGAAAAGCAACTGGATCAGCAATAGTAGAGTCCCGACAATCATTTTGCCGATCAGGAGCAATTCAAGAAGGACATATACCAGAGCACATTCACTATTAAAAAGGAGACTTCACCAAATGTGATATGAGGTTCAGTAAGTGGAGAAAAAGTGGAGAAAAAAAATTGGCATATCCAGCAGTCAATAGCACTACAGATGGAGTGGTTAACGGAACAAGTGATCAATTGGTGGTAATGGTCAGGCCCAGTGCATGGGGATTGAAACATGTACACTCCAACTAAGACATATTAAGTAGATATATGAAGCAATTCATCAACCTATTGGGTACAGTGTGCCAGAATGTTGTAACTGATTCTATAAATGTTGTAACAATATTCAATATTTTGCAAAATTATGTCAAAAGGCATTAACAGATAAAGGCATTAAAAGATAAAGTATATTAGGCAAAATATATTAATAAAACAAAAAAATATGAAAATGAATATGATAATGCAGCTCATTGATTTAATCATCGGGTTCAATGTAACAGAATATGGTACCTGACTACACTCTAGTTATAACTATGTTAAATATATTGCTCATATGCCAAAATTATGTCAAAAGGCATTAACAGTGTAAGGCATTAACAGATAAAGTATATTAGGCAAAATATATTAATAAAACTAAAAAATATGAAAATGAATATAATAATGCGGCTCATTGATTTAATCATCGGGTTCAATGTAACAGAATATGGTACCTGACTACACTCTAGGTATAACTATGTTAAAAATATTGCTCATATGCCAAAAGTTTACAATTAGAGGTGGTGAAAGACAAAGTGTATTAAACAGAAGATACTGGGCAATAAAACAAAAGAAGATGATGATAAAAATAAAACTGAAAGACAAATTAACAGTCAACGAGAAATATTCATGGAATAATAAGGGAAGATACAGATTTGTAAAGACACTATTTTGACAATGAAAGAGATAGCATTTCCATCTAAAAACCTGCATGCCCAGTACTTTTTATAGATACACGTGCTCTTCATTTGTCTCTAGAAGTTGTGGCAAAATAAATCCAAAATATTTAGTGAGAACTACTTTAAAATTTTCATCCTGTTAAATCTGATGCTCTGTGTTTGTAGGATTAGTGTATTATTCCAATTTCCTTGACATATCCAAACTTATAATAAGGATAACCTTTAGTATTAGCATTAGTCCCTACTAAAAAATAAGGATTCAGAAGAGTCAGTTGCATAAAATCCAATTTAACCAAAGATTGTCCTAACAACATTAAGAAAATGTAATCCCTCCCTTACTGCCTAGGAAAAACACAGCCCAAGACTCACAGTGAACTCCAAAAGCCAAGCTTTTAAAGATAAATGGCAATACTCTGCCCTCAATAAAACATGGATTTAAACATATCTTCCTATTAAAACACATATTCCAAGAGAATTGAAAATATAAACCAGGGATTAGCTAGACTATATTAGTCAATTCCTGACTGAATACAATTCAAACCAAACTAAGACTAGTGGAGAGTCTGATGGGGGTACAATTCCTGCAATCCCAAGTATGGGTGTAATGTTACCAGCTGAGAGGAGAGACAGGCATACCTATGTATTAGTGAAGTAATGTAACAAGGGCTAGAGTTGCTTAGAGCTTTGTAGGTAAGAGCTAGTATGCTGAATCCTATAAGGTACAAGAAGCCAATGTAAGAATTGACAGAGGGGCAAGGTGTGAGAGATGTGACAGGAGAGAAAAATCAACCTGGCATCAGCATTCATCACGGACTGCAGCCAGGCAGTACGGTTTCTGGGGAGTCAAATTAGCAGAGAATTACAGTAATAAATGCAACAAATTACTATAGCATGAAAAAGCTCCCTAGCAACATCTTGTATTAAAAAGGAGCGGTCACGGGTTCGGGCAATGTTTTTAAGGTGGAATCGACAAGACTTGGCAACAGACATGACGTGAGACATAAAGGTGTGGTCAGAATCAAAGATGACACTAAGACAGTGAGCTTAAAAGGACAGGCAAATGCAGGTACCATTAACTTGCAGGGAGAGCAAAAGAATTAGTATTATGAGGAGAAGAAATAAGAAGCTCAGTTTTTCTCCTTATATTTTTCTCCTCATGTAACCGGTGATACATTCTATGGCAGCAGGGGAGAGATATATCTGGATGTTGTCAGCATACAGGTGGTAGCGGAATCCAAATGAATTAATAAGTTTGCCAAGAGAAGCAGTATAAATGGAAAGCATAAGTGGAGTAAGAGCAGACCCACCTTGGGAGGACTCCAATCAGATAGAACTAGGGGAGGAGGTGTCATTAGAAAAGGAGACACTGAATGAATGTTGGGAGAATGGGACAAGGGGCATCACTTCCCATATATAATAATTAGGATTCAAAAGTGTCAGTTGCATAAAATCTAATGTAACCAAAGATTGTCCTAATAACATTAAGATTCTTTTTAATACCTTCCCTCGAGAGGTACAGTACAGAAGCCAAAGGTTTGAAGAGTTAGAAGAATAGTGTCAAAGGCAGCAAAGAGGACTTGTAGAATTAGTATAGAGTAGTGGCCTCTGGATTTAGCTGTTATTAGTTACGGTAATCAGAGGGGTCTCAGTAGAATGGAGGGGAAGCTAGATTGAAGAGGTAGGAGGAGAGAGTTCGAATTGAGAAAGAATGCAAAACAGGTAAAGATAAGAGGGGGTAGAGAGAGGCGTGTAATCACTGTACATCGCCATACATCACCATACAATATCCTACAAACTCGCTCATTCATATATATTTCAGCTAGACACTACTGAATGTAGGCTTGCTACTTTTGTGCTGAATATCTCCTCACAGTGAAGACCCAGGTATGTAAGATCTGCACGGCCAAATAATAATTAAAAAAATAATATTAATTATTTTCATTTTTCAATACTCACCATCATCACTATCTAGGCCTCTGGTCTTACTCCATAGGCACGAACACTGGCTCCACTACAACCTGTCATCTAAAATACAGGGAATACATTCCCATGCCGTAATTTTCACAGGTACCTGTACCAGCACATATTTACTTTACCTAATTCTAGGTCTTCAAAGCCCCATCCCCGGTACTTTTGTTACCGTACCATTCCGGCCAGGACTGTTGTAACCTACCTTTAGGCCATAGAACACTCGCAACCTTGCTAAATACAAAGTAAGTAATTCTCCATTATTTCCCTCTTGTACGCACCTCCAGTCAGATCATGTGCCTGACAGACCAACAGGCATAAATGCCAACACGGTGGGTCCATGTAATACCTAGGTCACTGTCACGCCTCTGCCCCTAGCATGGTTCCATCCAGGACACCTTACTGGCAACGGCCTCCTCACATCATATCATAGTCAAAACCACTCTGCTTTTCCTGTTCTCACAGGTGGATACCATTCCGCCCTCCTATGTCACGTGCAAATCCCAAGACGATCATACGTTACCAACCGACACCCAAATGGTCATCTCCACCTCTAGGGATGAACTAAATACACGTCAGATGACACTCTTCTCCTTTAAAGAATCACAATTCCTAACTTATTTACGTTCCAGAATATTGCACGCGTCTGACATGGCCAAGGATATCTCCCTATCTAGCATCCAGAAACTCCAGCTCAGCCAGACCACGCACCCCAGCCAAGAACATAGAGACGGCAAACCAGGGATCTCTAAGTTTTTGGACCATACCCAAGATTGTGGCCGAGCTTAGGAGAAGAGGCGTCCCATACCCGGCCATGGCTCGCAAAGCGGAATTATACCACCTGTTTAATGCTAACCCTGACACCCCGGGACCGGGAAACAACAGAAACACGTCAGGAATCCATGCTACCATGTCAGCACTACTCTCATCCGTTAACCTCATTAATGAGAGACTGGAGAAACTAGAGACCCAATTTCTCATTATCACCCCGGCAGTCATTCCCGCCACACTTCTACAGACAACCCCAAACCCGGGTAACAGCATTAATTCTAACCCAATGCCAACGACCTCACACATAATCACACCTGCCCACTTAGTACCCCAGTCCATTAAGAAAGACACACTAGAAGGGAAAGATGTAAACCTAGTCTCCCTTCTGATAGCATGCCAAGATTTGCTGGAGAAAAAGGCTTATTGCTGTGGGGACGTGTCCGTAGTACTCAAGCATGGCCAATCCTGGGCGGGTGCACGGGGTGCACTGCGCCCAAGCGCATGGAGGTGGGGGGGCGCTGCGCAGAGCGACTGATGGCCTGTCACAGGGAGCCCAGCAGGTGGCCAGCTGGCCACCTAAGGGCACCCCAGGAACAGCGATTATGATGCAAGGTAGAGTTGGCGAACCCTGCTTAACCCAGACAGCAGGTGCCTACTCTGCATCAATATACCGGAACAGAGTGTGGAAGCAGGGAGGCGGCGGCGAAGAGGGAGGACTGTCTGAGCTGATGATCTTCCTGCTCCCTCGCGAGCCCTCTGTGTTGATGCCGGGAGCCGGAATATGATGTAATTCACTAAACAGTGCGAGGGAGGAGAGAGGAGCAGGAAGATCATGAATGTCACTGGATCCCGCGGAGAGGACCGAGAAGACTCCTAAAGGTAGGAGCAACAAACAAGCAATTCATTTGTGAGTGTGTATGCAAGACTGTAAGTGTGTATGTGTCTATCAGTAAGTGTGTGTGCATGTATCTGTGAGTAAGTGTGTGTCTGTCAGTAAGTCTATGTCTGTCAGTGTGTGTGTGTGTCTGTCAGTAAGTCTGTGTCTGTCAGTGAGTGTCTATCAGTGAGTATGTGTGTATATCTGTCAGTGAGTGTGTGTGTATGTCTGTCAGTGAGTGTGTGTATGTCTGCCAGTGAGTGTGTGTGCATGCCTGTCAGAAAGTATGTGCGTCAGTGAGTGTGTTTTTGTCAGTGAGTCTGTGTCTGTCAGTGAGTGTGAGTCTATGTCTCCCAGTGAGTGTGTGTGTATGTCTGTCAGAAAGTGTGTGTGTCAGTGAGTGTGTGTGTTTTTGTCAGTGAGTGTGTCTGTCAGTGTGTGTGTCTGTGTATATGTCTGTTAGTGTTTCTGTCAGTGCGTGTGTCTGTGTATGTGTCTGTTAGTGTTTGTGTGTGTCTGTCAGTGAGTGTGTTTGTCAGTAAATGTATCTGTCAGAGAATGTGTGTGTGTATATCAGCAAGTGTGTCTGTCAATGTGATTGTCAGTGTGTGTGATGTGTCTGTTAGTGTTTGTGTGTTAGTGAGTGTGTGAGTGTGTTTGTCAGTAAATGTGTCTGTCAGTAAGTGTGTATGTCAGTGTGTGTGTGTGTGTGTCCATCAGTGTGTGCGAGTGTATGTCAGTGTTTGTGTGTTTGTCAGCGAGTGTGTCTGTCAAGTAAGTGGTTGTCTGTCAAGTGAGTGTGTGTCTGTCTGTCAGGGTTTGTGTGTGTCAGGGTTTATGTGTGTGTCATTGAGTGAGTGCCAGTGTGTCTGTCAGCAGGACCAGCCTTTGGGGTGTGCAAGCTGTGTGGTTACGCAGGGCGCCATGACAACAGAGGCACCTGGCGGCCAACACAGCTCGCAAACTGGGGACACTAACATATTAAATTTAAATGATTCCCTGGTGATCCACTGGTGCACACAAGTAGTAGGTGTGGTCAGATCATACCCTCTCCCTCATGGTTCTGGTGCTCAGTTTGTGAGTCAGAAAACAGGCTCAGAGATTCTCAGCCTGCGCTCTGACAACATTGAAAGCCAGAGCCATGAAGGAGTGGGTATTATGATCTGAAACAACAGGACATGTGCTTCCTGCTATTCACCACTGGACTGCCAGGGAACGCATATAGGATACCACTGGACCACCAGGGTAGTTTGAGGGGGCATTTGTGACCAAGCACTAGAATGAGGGGGGTGCTGCAGGGAAGAGTGTCACAGCTTGGAACATGGTAGGACTCAGGAAAGAGAGTGGCTGCTTTAGAATGCAGCCTTGAAAACCTCCCAACCCTAGAAACTCCCCCAGTAGGTAGCTGGCAAAGGAGCTGCTGAGTGTAGGTGGTGTTACACCAGTGGTACTCTGCTGAGTAACTACCTACCTACCCAGTCACATAACCACACATGAACACCAATTAAAATAATCTACCAACCAATGTGCTATACATAAGCGGTCAGTTTCTGACTTCTGTACTTGCTATTTTTTACCTATGTATTTATGTGACTGTTTGTGATTTCATGTCTAAGTGACTGAGTGTGTTGTGTGTCTATGTATGGGACTTTGTGTGTCTTTTAATGTATGTGCCTCAGTGTTTTTTTATGAATGTTTGTAATTGTATTAATGTGTGTATGTCTGTGTTTTGGTGTGTCTGTGTCCATGCTGATGTGTGTCTATGATGAATGTGATGGTGTGTGTTAATTCATGTCTGACAAGGTTATTCACTAAAACAATTGTCAGGAATACAATGCTTCCAGTTTGACTATTCTGTCATCCACTTTGAAATCCACTATTCTTGACAATCCTCATGTTTGTTAATAACCCGGTATATATGTATGTGAATGTGTATGTTGTTACGTGCCTCTGTATGTGACAGTGTGTGTCTATGTATGGATGTATGTGAGTGTGCACATGTCTATGTATGTATGAGATATGATCTGTGGTTTATATGTATGTGTATTAAAGTGTATATGGGGTACATACATCAATGTACATATACAGCAAACTAAAAATAAGGAAAACTATTTGACACTTTGCATTAAAGCCCCATCCCTGCCCTAACTATAGAAGCTTTGCATTAAAAAATAATTTATACAAATAAGTTTATTTAGATAATTGTTTAAGAGGGCGTCATCAAGTCTAGAACTGCACAGAGGGGAAGCAGAAAGGAATACCTACCTCCTCAACACTAGACACTAGGAAACCTGGCCTCCTCTCTTTCTTCCACTGCTCATGGCAGCAAGGACTGTGTGAATGTGACACACAGAGAAAGAGAGAGAGAGAGAGAGTGTGTTTGTTACAGAGTCCATATGACAGTGTGAATGTGTGTGTATTGTATTGTGTGTGACTGTCTAGGTATGCATGGGGCAGTGTGTGTGTAATTGTGTGATAATGTATGTTGTGATTTAAAATGCTGGACTTCCTTGTTTTGTGTACCACTAAGTGTCTATCAGAATTTGTGTCTGTCAGCGAGTGTTTCAAATCAGTGAGATTGTGTATCTATCATTGAGAGTGTGTTTCAATGTTTCTGTCTGAGTATGTTTCTGTCAGTGTGTGACAAATCAGTGAGTGTGTGTGTCTCTAAGTGAGAGCGTGTCACTCTCAGTGAGAGCATGTGACTGTCTGTTGCAAAGGGGAGGGGTTAGAAAGATGACCACGCCCACATTCTCCAATCTGTGCCCCACCAAAGGTAGCCTGCCTACTACCAGCAAAGCAGAGTCCACTCCCAACAAGTCAGCAAGGGTACTCAAGGACAAACTTGGCAGGCCCATCGTCTTCCTAGGTAAGGCACAGATATGCAACAACTTCAACACTGGAGGTTGTATTTTCAGCGGATGTCGGTTGCTGCATATCTGTTCCCTTTGCTTTAGGGCACATGAAAGACCATGTGCTCCAACCGGTTATTCCCTAAGCAATGACTCACAGAAATGATCTCTTCAGACACCCCTCCCCACACTTGGTCAATTTCCTCACCACGGGGATCACGGAATGGTTCCACATGGGGCTTGTGGCACTCCCAGGGGGCACTTTAGAATGTAATCGTCCACCTTAGACCCCAACACCACGGACACACTGCTCTCAGCAGAACTCAACCAAGGGTTCATGCTAGGTCTCTTCAAACAACCCCCCTATTCCAATTGGAGAATATATTATAGTGTCTCTTTAAGTGTGTTTTATTCCTTTAATACAAATTGTGACAGTAGCCACCATCACTGGGAACATAAGATGGACACTTCAATTAGATCCCTGGATGATTACTTTGTTTAAGTCACCCTGTGCCCATTCTAGGTTCAGAGTGTGTGTAATGTATGTGTATTATGTATTTATTGTTAATTGTGTGTGCTCTCCTTTCCTGCTGATGCTTGCTACCAACTAGGAGGATTTCGCAATTGAGCCTGTATATTGCCCTCTGTTGGTTGAAGCAACAGCTATATGCACTACCTGAATAGCAAGGCTTGCTAATTTGCATATTTGGGTGTATTTGCATATTGCTAATTCTGCAGGCAGGAGAGATATTTAGTGTTCATTATTATCTTCCCCAACCACTTTTACACCCTTTTCAAAATTATTATGCAAATTCTATTTAAGTGTCACAAAGATTAGATATGTTGTTTTTCAGTTTAACTCATGGATGGCATTGTGTCTCAGGGCTCTTTTGATCACTGAAAACAATCTCGGACACCTGTGATAATTAGATTGCCGGGTGAGCCCAATTTAAGAAAAAACTACTAAAGGAGGGTGTTCCACATTATTAAGCAGAGCACCATTTTCATGCAATATGGGGAAGAAAAAGGATCTCCCTGCTGCCGAAAATAGTGAAATAGTTCAACGTCTTGGATGAGGTATGAAAACATTAGATATTTCACGAAAACTTAAGCATGATCATCGCACTATTAAGAGATTTGTGGCTGATTCAGAGCAAAGACGGGTTTATGCAGATAAAGGCACATTGAGGAAGATTTCTGCAAGATCCATGCATCGAATCAAGAGAGCAGCTTCTAAAATACTATTACATAGCAGTAAACAGATATTTGAAGCTGCTGGTGCCTCTGGAGTCCCATGGACATCAAGGTGTAGAGTCCTCCAGAGTCTTGCAACTATGCATAAACCTTCTATTTGGCCACCACTAACCAATGCTCATAAGCAAAAATGGCTGCATTGGGTAGAAAAATACATGAAGACTAATTTTCAAACAGTCCTGTTCACTGATGAGTGCCGTGCAACCCTGGATGGTCCAGATGGATGGAGTAGTGGATGGAGCGTCAGCAAGATAGTGGTGGAGTCATGTTTTGGGCCGGAATCATGGGAAGAGAGCTGGTCGGCCCCTTTAGGGTGCCAGAAGGTGTAAAGATGACCTCTGCAAAGTATATGGAGTTTTTGACTGACCACTTTCTTCCCTGGTACAAAAGGAAGAACTATGCTTTCCGTAATAAAATCATCTTCATGTATGACAATGTACCATCTCATGCTGCAAAGAATACTTCTGCATCAATGGCTGCTATGGGGATAAAAGGAGAGAAAGTCATGGGGTGGCCTCCATCCTCCCCTGACCTCAATCCTATTGGGAACCTTTGGAGCATCCTCAAGCAAAAGATCTATAAGGGTGGGAGGCAGTTTACATGCAAAGAGCAGCTCTGGGAGGCTATTCTGAAATCTTCAAGCAGAAACTGTCCAAAAACTCACAAGTTCAATAGATGCAAGACTTGTGAAGCTGCTATCAAATAAGGGGTCCTATGTTAAAATGTAATGTGACCTGTTAAAATGTTTAAAAAGTTAAGATTTTGTTATGTTTGATTGAAATTGCTTTTGATTACAGTAAATATGCTGCAAACACAACAAATGACAATTTTCAGTTCTTTACAACCTATAAATAGAGATGTCCCGAACAGGTCGCTGGCGAATAGTTCCTGGCGAACATCGCTTGTTCGCGTTTGCCGCGGCGGGCGAACATATGCGATGTTCGGTCCGCCCCCTATTCCATATCATTGAGTAAACTTTGACAACCCCCCCACCCGCCACTCGGGGGTGGGGGTTGTCAAAGTTTACTCAATGATATGGGGGGGGGACCTACTGTCCTCCCCCCAGCCCCCACCCCTGAGCGGTGGGTGGGGGCCCTAAAAAAAACAATAGGGGGGAACTTCTGTCCCCCCCCGGCCCCCACCCCTGAGTGGTGGGTTGGGGCCCTAAATACTAAGAAGGCGGGGGACCTAAGGTCCTCCCCCCTGGCCCCCACCCCTGAGCGGCGGGTGGGGGCCCTAAATACTAAAAAGGGGGGGACCTAAGGTCCTCCCACCTGCCCCCACCCCTGAGCGATGGGTGGGGGCCATAAATACTAAAAAGGGGGGGACCTAAGGTCCTCCCCCTCCCCCCTGGCCCCCATCCCTGAGCGGCGGGTGGGGGCCCTAAATACTAAAAAGGGGGGGGACCTAATGTCCTCCCCCCCAGCCCCCACCCCTGAGCGGCGGGTGGGGGCCCTAAAAAAATGTTTTTTTATTTGGCCTTTTTTGGGGCTGAAAAAAGAAGATTTAGAAGAAAGAAAACATCAAATGGTAAGTTTTTTTTTTTTTTTTTACAGATACTTAGTTAAAGGTCCCCCCCTCATTATTTTTAGGGTGAGGGGGGTAGGTAGGGGGTTATTTTTTTGGGGGGGGGAGGGGGTGACTAGGGATTTGGGGACCCCTAGTCACCTGGGGGGGGACGGACTTTTTTTTAGGGCCCCCACCCGCCGCTCAGGGGTGGGGGCCGGGGGGGAGGACCTTAGGTCCCCCCCTTTTTAGTATTTAGGTCCCCCACCCACCGCTCAGGGTTGGGGGCCTGGGGGGAGGACATTAGGTCCCCCCCCTTTTTAGTATTTAGGGCCCCCACCCGCCGCTCAAGGGTGGGGGCCAGGCGCAGGACCTTAGGTCCCCCCCATTGTGATTTATTTGCCCCCACCCACCGCGCAGGGGTGGGGGCCAGGGGGGGAGGACAGTAGGTCCCCCCCTCATTATCTTTATGGCCCCCACCCGCCGCGCAGGGGTGGGGGCGGGGGGGGAGGACAGTAGGTCCCTCCCCCCTCATTATCTTTATGGCCCCCACCCGCCGCCCAGGGGTGGGGGCCGGGGGGAAGACAGTAGGTCTCCCCCCTCATTATCTTTATGGCCCCCACCTGCCGCCCAGGGGTGGGGGCCGGGGGGGAGGACAGTAGGTCCTCCCCCCCATTGTAATTTATGGCCCCCACCCGTCGCACAGGGGTGGGGGCAATAGGTATTTTTTTTTTTTTTTTTTACTAGACATGCCCCTACTCGCTGCATAGCGAGTAGGGGCAAAATTTACTAATACTAAGTAATCTTTACTTAGTATTAGTAAATGTGGCTGAAAGACCAATTTAGGTCTTTCAGCCTTTTAGTAGATAACTCCCTAATACCGTGGGAATTAGGGAGTTATCTACTAAGCGGCTGCAAGATGCAGCCGCGGATCGGAGTTTGCATGCCACAGTCCAGGTGTTAGTCCCCTTGAAACAACTTGTGGGTTTTAAAATTCGCCTGCCTATTGAAGTCTATGGCGGTTCGCCCGGTCCAAATTATAATGCACAGTAAGTTTCAAAATACTTTATAGGTAGTGATGTCATAAAATTTCATGTTCGCGACATCACTACCTATAAAGTGTTTTGAAACTTACTGTGCATTATAATTTGGAACAATGCATTGAAAGTTTTTAATGTTTAAAAAAAAACTGTTATCATTAGGAGGTTTGTTCAATAAAATTTGAATTGTACTCTTAATAGTTGATAACATGAGAATTATGCTGACTGTTATTTACATCAATTATTTAGGTAAATGAGAAAAATATCATTTGCATAATAATTTGGAACAGGGTGTAAATATTTAATTGTGTTATAATAAATTGCTGTATGTTGTCTGCTACGATTTGGTTATTTGTATTTTATTTAACTTGTCACAGCAATCTACATATAATGAGTCTATGCACTAGTCCTGTGAAAAATACAATATTGTATGTAAGTTCCTTTTGGAACTTGTGTCCTGTGTGGATTTTTAGGGATCCCAGTAACAGAGTCTTCAGACCTGTTTCCTGGTTGCAGGATCCCTCTATCCCTGTGATAGATCAAGAGAGCTAAGCGTGAGAGCCGCAGTTGCCATTTTAAAGACAATAACTTTAATCACTGTAAGAAGGCAGAATAAGAACAGGCAGAGGGGACGATACCTGCCTGGAAAAAGGGCTGCAGCGGAATAGGCAGAGGGGATGACACCTGCCTGGAATGAGAGCTGCTGCCTGGACGGGTGCAAAAGCTCCAGAAAGACTCCAGTCAAGCCGGGGCAGAAGCGTTCCAGGGTCCCTGCAAGTTGAATTAGCAGTGGTACCCAATCGAGGTACTGGGAGCTCCATCATACACATCTTCAATGCTGGATGATTCATTAAAAATCCACATAGCACTCGCAGTGGTTGTTGGTACAATTCATGCCACTTACATTTATTTTGCAAACAATACAATTTTTTAATATAAACACCAGCTTTATTGTTCCATTACTCCAATCGTCAAAATCCAGTCATACTCCTTTTTCAAGTGGTCCCTGTACAATTAGGAATTACAGGGCCCCAGTGCAAGAATCAAGGAAAGGCCCCCTTTACCTCCCTCCTTGACCCCCCTACACCTAAGTGGAATGTGTGAGGTGGCTGAGTGTGATTGTTTGTGGGTTAACTGAATGTGAATCTGTGTTGGTCTTGGCTGAGTGTGATTGTGTTTGCTGGTCGAGTGTGATGTATGTGTGGAGTTGGTGGAGTGTGATTGTGTGTATGTGTGTGGCTGGCAAAGTGTGATTGCATATAGGGTTTGGCTGTGTGTGAGTGTGAAATGATTGACCCTGCCAGCTAAGTCACTTCCCTAAGCAAGGCAATCCCCCGTGTTGAAACCAACATGCTGGCTTCACTGCCAGCAGACTGGCATGATTGCATCCTAAATTCCACCAGTAAGCCTCTGTTGGAGGCATAACACAGTGACAGGGAGCAAGAGGACTGCCTTTCAATGTAGTGATGTAATTGAATGCTTTTTAATATACTTATTTTATATACACTTTTATTAATAATACATGCACATGTATATATACTGTGTGTATACACACATACATTATATATATATATATATATATATATATATTTATTTATTTATTTTTTTTTCATACATATATGCATATTGCTAAATAAAATTGAATTCAACTATTTTATACTGTTAAGCACATGCACTCTCACAGTCTCACAGACCCAAAACACACCCACTTTCACTGAAACCTCCCCTCACTAATAAACATATACATTGACATACAATCAATGGCAGATCCACAGTCATTGACACACATACTGTTTAACCAACACACACTCTCACTGACAGACATACACTGAGATACACACACCCTCACTGATTTGACACACTCACTGACACACATACTCACTGACAGACACACACTTTCACTAATCTAACACACTGACAGACACAAACAGAAGAGGCTTGGGCATGCCCTGCTTACTAACCAGCTTGGATTTATCTTTGTTAACTCCTACAAGCCTAGATTTACCTTTGTTAACCCCTACCAGCTTGGACTTGCCTTTATTAATGCCTACCAGTTAGGATCTGCCTTGCTAATCAGTACGAGCTTGGCCTTGCCTTTGTTTATCTCAGTTAACCTGACTTGCTTGGACTAGCCCTTGCCACCCTGGACCAGTGTTGGATCTTATGGTGAGCTTTGTCTATTTGTTTTGTAACCTGAGACTTTATACTTGTATTTGCTTATCCTCTCTACAAGACTTTTTAATCTTTATTTGTTGAATGGTCTTATTACATTTGTTTACTTCCCGGATTTACCAATTTATTGCATTCATTCATCAATAAAGCTCTTAAGTGAATGTGTTTTGTTCAAATATCTGCATACTGAGCCCATTCACTACAAACCTGTGACACATGCACTCATTAATTATTATTATTTTTTAATTAAAGTCCACCCAGCCTCCCTACCTGCGGGAGAGCTGGAGTGTTTCCTTATCCTGTGGTCCAGTAATTGACTCTTCCTGCTTATTTTACTGTTTCTTCGGGTGACATTTGGTGAAGCCAGGCCAGAGTGACATGATATCATGGCTTCCTGATTTACAGTAGGGCGTGCAAGGGAGCAGAGCAAGTAGAGCATAAAGATTACACCTCCCTCACTGCCACCGGCCTCAATGAGGGGCCTCAGGTGGCCAACCAGCCAGCTCTTGGGCTCCCATCACAGATGGAGCAAAGGGGGTCTGTTTGCACTCGTGAATACTTGAGTTTTGCCACTGTACTAGTGCAAGAAGGGGCATTTTTATTATATTAGCCACTCCGCATTGCTTTCTGAACATTTTTTTAATTGTAGACCAAGTGAATATAATTTGTATATTTTTCTTTCATTTTTATGAACAAGGAGTAAAAGCCATAAATAAATACCTATTGGTAGAATTTTGGAAAGATTTGAATTATAAAGTGCATTATATATGCTCTTCTCAATAAATTATGCAGCAGGTCATATGCACAAATGAATGAATTCAAAGGTCAGTATATCTCTGCCTTTAATATATAAATGTAAACATAGGAGTAAAGCTGCATATAAAAATTGCTGGTCAACAGTAAGAAAAATAATAATCATCACAATCATCAGAAATAATTGATCCTTTCACATTTTTCATATATGGTGGGTCACCAGCCATCTACTCCTATATTATTTTTTTTTTTTTTTTTTAAAGATAAAGAATTTGCATAAACACAAGCATCAATGGCAAATTAATAATTCATCATTGTTCAAGTACCCTTCATTCGGATGCTCCTCTTTAAAAAAATGCTTTATTCTCTTCATCATTTTAGCAGAACAAGCATTGTGTTTATTTATTAGCATAAACTTAACAATAATCATGAGTCTTAAAATATTATTTGTCTTCCTAAAAACAACATTTTGAAGAGTGGCTAACACTAAATTTATCAAATAAATACAAGAGTCATTAGTACATTATGGCAATATTGGAGGGCAAATTTTAAATTTTTTTTGAAAAAGAATTAAAAAAAAGATAATGTAACATTTCTGACAAATGTATATGCTTGTGGACTTGGCATTGGACACTCCGTGTTTGTATAAATTAAAGTTATGTAACAGTTAATAAATTATAAAATAAAGTAATTAAACTCTTTGTAGATAATCTGGTTCACAAGGAGATATTTCACTTGTTTTTTTAATTACGCCATCTGTTGGGCGCTATATCTCCCCAAACTTTTACAGGGGATGGGGTCTTTCTGGCAACTGGGCAACAATGCCTGTACAGTCACTAGTATTATATATTTATTTCTAGATATTTATGCCCTCACCTGCCCTATGGTGGGAGGGTGAATAGGAAGACTTTAAACCTCCCTTATAATAATGTGGGAGAATTATTAAATGCCATTGATTTTAAATGTAATTATTTTCTTTTTTAATATGGAGACTGAATTGAAAATGCTGGCCAGCAACCACATTTTTAAGACTAACAGTGTTGTTGTTGTTTTTTTTGTTTTTGTTTCTTTTAACAGTTTAGTTGTCAATAGTACTTAAAATTATCATTCACTTGCAGAAAAAGAAAGTGAGTTGTAATTTGCAAATGTGCCTCTTACAGATGTATTTGGTTCCAAACTGAATTAACCCCTTAAGGACACATGACATGTGTGACATGTCATCATTCCCTTTTATTCCAGAAGTTTGGTACTTAAGGGGTTAAAGACAGTTCTTTGTGAATATTACTAATCCTACACTTTTGTATAGGATTCAGATGTGAGAGCACAGATTTTAATATTGACACTGAAGTCATCCAGGTGATTGCTGCAGATTCAATGAGGCTGACTAAATTCCAACCATATTTGGCTTTAGTAAGTATTAGCATTGCCATTGTTGCTGGATTTTGGTCATTATCACAAGATTTTGTCCATCTAGACAAAATGTGGTCTCTAGTGCAGAATCTTATAAGTATTATGGGCATAGGCGTGCACACGGGGTGTGCCGGGTGTGCCTGGGCACACCCTAATCCCCGCGGCACGCCTATGTATTGAGACCGGAAGGGGAGATCTCAGGATCTCCCCTGTCGGCTCATGCAGAGCCAGCACTATCCGAGCGCCGGCTCTGCTCTAAGCCTCCCTCCCCACAGCAGCATGGAGGGAGGCAGGAGAGGATCCGAGGAGCTCAACCAGCAGCTCCGCCGGGCTCCTCTCGCGAGGTTGGAGCGTTGCCGTGGCAACGCTCAGATCTCGCGAGAGTGAATTCTAGCCCCACAGGCTAGAGTTCACCCTCCACTGGACCACCAGGGATGACAGCAGCACGATCCCCCCTCCCTACATAAGGTACATAAGGGAGGGGGGATATTAAGTAATGTACTCCCACCTCCACCCCCCACAATCACCCACAGAACCTACACACATACAGCACACACACACATACGCAGCACCTACACACACACACATACAGCACCTACACACACACACATACAGCACCCACACACATAGCACCTTCACACACACATACAGCACACACACACACATACAGCACCCACACACACACAGCACCCTCACACATACAGCACCCTCAAACACACAGCACCCTCAAACACACAGCACCCTCTCACACACAGCACCCTCTCACACACAGCACACAAACAGCACCCTCACAAACACACACACACAGCACCCTCACACACACAGCACACTAACAGGACCCTAACAAACACACACATAGCACACAAACAGCACCATCACACACACATCACACTAACAGCACCCTCACACACAGCACCCTTACACACACAACACCCTCAAACCACTCTCACACAACGCACACACACACACAGCAGTGTTTGTGCTTTAGAGTGCACACCCTAATGCAATAGGCTGCGCACACCTATGATTATGGGTGAATACCATCTGGGGCTTTGTTTACTTAATTGCTGATGTACTTTATACTGTGTTAACTAATCAACTATTTGCTTCAAGGCTTTGTAACAGTAATCTATAAATCTACAGATGTAGATTATTCTTTGCTATTTATTGAATAAAAAATTGTATTCAGAAATTCTTTAACTCAAACATGTCAAACTCAAAGTCTGGATCGGGCCACATAAACAAGGTTTAAGTTTATGTGGGCAGCAAAAATTTGAAATACCATAAATTTTCATAGAAACGTAGGTTTATTTTAAAAAGTACAGTATAAAAAAACCCCCAGCATCCCCCTCTACTAAACTACTGCACCACCCTCTACTAAATCCCAGCCCCCCCTCTACCACTCTGTGCAAATCTGATCCTCTCACTGACACACACACATATTCTCTGACAGACACACACATACAGTAACAATGATACTCACTGACAGACACACACATACTCACAGACAGACACACACATACTTGCTGACAGACACACACATACTTGCTGACAGACACAAACACACACAGACACATATACTCACTGACAGACACACACATACTCACAGACACACACACTGACAGACACACACAGACACACAGACACACTGACAGACACACACACTCACTGACAGACACACAAACATACTTGCTGACAGACACACACACACAGACTGACAGACACACTGACAGACACACAGACACACACAGACAGACTCACTGACAGACACACACACACACACACACTTACACATTCTTGCACACACATACTTTTTTGTATTGCTCCTTACCTTATGAAGCCAATGTGGGGCATCTCCCTGGGGTCCTTCTCACTGCTCCCTCACAAGGTTTAGTGATGCCGGGTGCCGGAATATGACGTCATATTCCGGCGCCCGGCTTCACTTCAGACGGCGCGCGTGAGGGAGCAGTGAGGAGCAGGAACACCGAGCTCCCTCGCTGGCCCTCCTCCCCAATATGGGGAAAGCAGGTGTCTCTACTATAACACCAGCATGTACTTGCGGCTCGCCGGGCCGCAAAGAGGGTCCCTGTGGGCCACATGTGGGCCACGAGTTTGACATGCTTGCATTAACTCATGTCAGAATCAGATCTCACTCATGTCAGATCTCAGATGGACCAACATTTTAACTCGTTGCCTTTTTGGTATTGAAGGTCTACTAAATGCTCCCTGGCCACTTCATCACAATGAATGGGTCTTGGTACAGTGGCCTTTAAGGTTTAACCCTACAATCTGAAACATTGCCGTTTAGTCTGGGACGTTTTAGCCGCGAGGCAAAAAACGCCGCCCCCAAATGCCCAGGGCAAATGCCTTGTTAGCCTTGCGGCTAACTGACATGCTGGGCTGGGCGGGCGGCTGGCGAGGGAGCTCTTCCTCTGAGCGGTCTGCTCAGCTCCCTCGTGCGCTGCAGAGTAAAGCTGGAAGCCGGAATATGACGTCATATTCCAGCTCCCAGCTTCACTCTGCAGCGCAAAAGGGAGCTAAGCAGACAGCTATGGGGAAGTGCTCCCTCGCCAGCCGCCCGCCAGCGCCGCCCGCCCGCCCAGCAGCCACTGTACCCCCAGGTAGAAAGAGAACCCCCCCAGCATTCCTAAAGGTAAGGAGGCTGGGGGGGTTAAATAAAAAAAAGTGTTAATGTGAGTGAGTGTGTGTATGTCTGTTAGTGTGTGTGTGTGTATCTGCTAGTGTGTGTCTGCTAGTGAGTGAGTGTGTGTCTGTCTGTCTGACTGTGTGTGTGTGTGTGTGTCTGTTAGTGTGACTGTGTTTGCCTCTGAGTGTGTGTGTCTGTTAGTGAGTGTATGTGTCTGCTAGTGTGTGTTTGCCTGTGAGTGTGTGTGTCTGTTAGTGAGTGTGTGTGTCTGCTAGTGTGTGTCTGTTAGTGAGTGTGTGTTTGCCTGTGAGTGTGTGTGTCTGTTAGTGAGTGTGTGTGTCTGCTAGTGAGTGTGTGTCTGTTAATGTGTGTGTGTCTGACTGGTTGTGTCTGTTAGTGTGTGTGTGTCTGACTGTGTGTCTGTTAGTGTGAGTGTGTTTGCCTGTGAGCGTGTGTCAGTGAGTGTGTGTGTCTGCTAGTGAGTGTGTGTTTGTCTGTTAGTGAGTGTGAGTGTGTCTGTTAGTGTGTGTGTTTCTGTTAGCGAGTGTGTGTTTCTGTTAGCTAGTGTATGTGTATCTGTCAGTGAATGTGTGTGTATTTAGAAGGCAGGGCGGGGGGAAGGGTTGGGTGGGGGGGCGCCTGAGTTTTGTCCTGCCTAGGGCAGCACAAAACCAGGATACACCACTGCGTTTAGTAGAATAGCAATTTTATGATTGCAGGGTAATACACCTCTAGAGGCAGTCTTCCTGAAGAGGTGCTTTTCCGGTGACAACCAAGTCAGACTCACTTCTTATTCAGACTCACTTCTTATTGGACTGTGTTAAATAGGTGCAGCACAGTAATATACAGCACTTTCCCTATGGGGATGTTTTGGATTGGCTTAGAACCTTTGACACTCCAGATGTTGTTGACTACATCTCCGCTGATGGTTTGCCAGTATTACGGGTGTAAGAACATTATGAACGTTATAGTCCAGAACATCTGGGGTGCCAAAGGTTGCCTGCATCCTGGCTTAGATCATCAGATTAATTATTTTAGCCATGGAGGCATAACTGACAGCGTTATTAGTCACTGTTTCCCAAGAGCTTCCAAACTTGAAAATTTATAAAATAGGCCAACATTATTTGTTATTACAAGTTTCGGACAAGCATCTATTCTAATTGGTGCTTCTATTTGAGATTTGAAAGTATAATTTAACATATTCAAAAACATGTATCCCTTAACTGTACTACTAGTCCCTCTGGCCCACTGTCACTATATGGATGATTAAATGCCAATAATTAACAAATTGCCCAGATGTGTAGCCTTATTAATTTGAGATAGCAGTTGCTCATTCCCATCAGTATTAATGTTTTAGGTTTGTAACATATTCCTACTATTAATGAATGCCACCTGTTTCCTCCTATGCACATTTCTACCTATAATGCTACCTCATCCTCAATTGTATCATCACATATAAAACTTGACTTCAATTCAGATTTGATATGTAAACATACCCCTCCCATTTTCTATTTTTCCTACACTACCTAAAAATGCATATCAATGTACTTAATATCCCTATCAAGTGTTACCACAAAGTCTTAGTAATCTTAATGATATCACACTATTTTATAATATATCTTACTCCTTGTATGCCAGTATCTACAGCTATGTCATTTTCAACATATATATATATACATATATAATGAAAAAAGCCTTGCACTCCTACTTACAGTTATTTGACCTGGTGCTTGATTTCACTAAATGTATTAAAGAAAACAATCAGCACTCCCAGGTAACTTTCTTAGGAACTTCTTTTACTGATGGTTGTCCTGATGAAACTGAATGAATGGAACTGAAACATTGCTTGTTACACTTTTTAGTAAAAGAAAATCCTAAGAAAGCTACCTGGGAGTGCTGATGTGTTTCATACACACACACACACACACACACACACTCCCCCCTCCCCCCTCTGACTTTATTGTTCCAATGGCACCTGTCAAAGGGTGGGTTATAATAGACAGCAAGCGCACAGTCATTTCTTGAATTTCATATGTTGGAAGCAGGAAAAAAGGGCAAGCAAAGAGATCTGAGTGATTTTGACAAGATGTGATGGCTAGATGACTGGGCATTTTCAAAATAAAAAAATCTTGTTGGGTGTTCCCTGTGTGTAGTGGTTAGTACTTACAAAAAGTCATGCAAGGAAGGACAAGTGGTCATGGGCGCCCAAGGCTCATTTGGTGCATGCGGCGAGCAAAGAGAGCTTAATTTATTGGAAAACTTAAAGGGTCACTATAGTCACCAAAACAACTTAGTTTTTTTGTGTATAGATCATGCCACTGCTTAAGTTTTACTGCTCAATCCTTTGCCATTTAGAAGTTAAATCACTTTAGTGTCTGTTTATGCAGCCCTAGCCACACCTCCACTGGCTGTGACTGAGACAGCCTGCATGAAAACAAAATGGTTTCATTTTCAATCAGATGTAGCTTACTTTAAAAATTTTTATCTCTTGCTCTGTAAATTGAACGTTAAGCACATACAGGAGGCTTCTGTAGGGTCTAGCAAGCTATTAACAGAATAGGAGATATAACATTTTAAATTAAATAGAATTTGCAATAAAGGAAGTGTACATTAGATGAGTCTTTACAGGAAGTGTTTAGGACGACTGTGTCAATCACATGCAAAGAGGTGTGCTTAGGGCTATAGAAACAGTCTTCACCTCCTAAATGGCAGGGAACTGAGCAGTGAGACTGCAGGGGCATGATCTATACAAATTTGCTTTATTAAGCTAAAGTTGTTTTGGTGACTATGTTTTGTTTTGGTGTCCCTTTAATGCTGGCCACAAAATGTTTCAAAACACACAATTTATGGGGCTGCATTATTTCAGACAGGTCAGAGTGCCCATGATTACTCCAGTTCACCACCAAAAGTGCCTTCAATGGGGATATGAGCATCAGAGCTGGAGCAATGGAAGAAGGTTACTTGGTAACTATTTTAGGCCGCTTTTTTAATGTTGTGCTGATCAGTGTCTATGAACATATATTTGTTATAATTTTACCAATCTACAGTTTTGTTGTCAGAATGATGGAGTGAAAAACATGGATAAATACTTTATTCACAGTAGGAATGAAAATTGCAAACAATTTCTAAAAAGCTGAATATAATGTTTACTTGCTTTTGCATGTTATCTGTGTGAAAGAAATTACAATCCAAGATATCTGATAAACATCCAGAAAATGTTTAAAAGCATGCTATCTAAAACATTATCTTTCTCTTTATCTTGTACAATATGCTGGTACATTAATCTTTTAAAAAACATTTATTTCCATGCAACTGGACTCTTGCAGAGTCTTCTTGCATACTATATGGGCATGAAAACTGAGTTCCATTAAATCTGACCTTCTTGCAGAATTAGCATTTTTAACCAATAATTCAAGCATTCATAGACAAACATTAAGCAGATATATATTGAAATCATTCTTCTAAAATATGAATTGAAGCCTTACTTTAATGACTTTTTTTCTTTTTTTGCTTGTACAATTGATTTCCAATCTGATATACTGATGGCATTTGGCGGGAAATGTCTTTTTTTATGACATGAATACCGAGAAGAATTCAGACACACTCGCAGAAAAAATTGATATGTCTGCATTAACCTAATGATCAAGATGCATTATCTGTGCTCGACCATTACAATCATTCTAAATAGGCAGTTCAATTATAATTTAACCATTTGGTTCACTTGGAGATGAGCAATGTATTGTTCTAACTTAAAAAGGTTAATTTATCTGGATTTAATTTTCTGCTGAAACCAGTTTATAAGTATTTTGTACAAAATGTACATAGTTATGCTTTCTTGTAAATGTGGTGCAATCACGATTTTGTCAGCAGCTATGTTTCTTTAATGCTTCTTGCATAAAAAATATCTGCAGTCTTTTAAGTCTTCCATCTTCCGCATTAAAACCTCTAAAGCAATATCACTGTCCTGATTAAAACTGCATGGTCATTTAGTGTGCTTCATAATTCACAATGGCAGCACAGTGAACTTATAATTAAAGGGACACTTCAGGAAAGATTTAATTGTCATTTTTAATCTATTATACACATAGTATATATTTAAATATAATTATAATTAAAAATATTCCTATTGATGTCCCTGTTGAACATGCATGCATGCACACACAATGTCACATGTGTGCTTACTTATTCCTGACGCATTTACAAGAAATCTGTTTCTATACTGATGCCCAAAGCCTCCATTTATTTGAATGAGTGTTATTTAAAGTCAGTGGAAAGGTTTCTGATTAATCAAAGGTATACATATAAAAGTCCCCAGTGGATGTAACCTCTCTGCCCTTAATTTTAAAACTGGTAGGTTAGTATTGGTATTTAGTGCGAGCAAATGAAGTCATTTCAGAATCTATGTGTCTCTATTTTAACAGAATCCACTAGGGATCAGAAAAGAGAAGGATAAAAAAAAAATGTACACCTATTGTTCTGTGGCATTGCCACATCAAAGAGTCCGATGAACACATTGACTTTAGCACAGTAACAGATGTAAAATGGTCCTTAGTTATTATTTCTATTAATAAGTGTCAGTGTTAATTAGTAGCAGTAGGGGGCTTCAAAACCTGCATGGGTGGGCAGATGCATTATAACACAATTGCTGCAGAATTGCACCTTTCAAAAGGAACATGCTATGGACCATAATTAATCCAACAATATGTATTTTGTTAGAAAATATCTGTTTTTTTAAAGGAGATTTTAGCCTGCTTTGTTAAACATTATTGAGTGCAGGCTGGCAGTCTGGCATTTAAGTAAACCATTAAGTAACCACCTTATGTTTTAAACAGTGCAGTGCATTAGGGACACATGACAAAGAATGTCAGAAAAAATGTAGCTACCCTCCCACCAGCGATATTTCTAAAATATTTGATTAACAATCTAGAACAATGCAGATACAAACAAAATGTGTTTAAATTATGTCTGAAATAATCTCTTTAAGAGAATGAGCAGAATATCATAGCATACTTTTTAATGAGGGGCAGTGGGGGCAGGGGGACGTGGCCCAAGCCCCAAATGTGTCTCCCTATAGTCCTGGATCTCTTTTTACTACATGCCCTGCTACTCCTGCTTGCTCTCCGTCTGCTTGGGGAGTCTAGAAGTCAGCCAGGAGTGGAAGCTGCACAATGAAAAAGACACACAGGGAATATGATCTCACCAACCATTTTAATGTCTTTCTATCACAATTTTTCTTCCTCTCAGCTCTGAGCCTCACTGCAGAGGTCATGTGCAGTGCAAGAGCAGATAAGTATCATGAGGAAACTGAGGAGCAATAGTGGAATTACCAGGGCGTCAAAGGTCGCTATGGCTATTGGGCCATTGGGCTTCTCCTATCAAGGTGGGGCCCAGACTGGATGGGGCACCCCTTGCAAAACTGTTTTTAGTATAGAATACAGCAGCATAGCTCCACCTTTGCCCAGGGTACAGCACGGCAGAATTTGCTGCGGGTGGCCTCTCTGAAAACACAACTCTATCTGTGCAGGCTGCTTCCTCACCGAAAAAGAGAGCCTATCCCAGTTCCCAGGAAGCTCTGGGGCCTATGGACAGCACATAGGAACTCACATCAAGCCCAGCAGCAGCTCCACAAACATTCTCCTACACTCTCAGTCTCTCCTCCAGTGGCACTCTGAATCAGGGTTGGGGAAACTCAATCCTGGCAGAGGCACTTTATGAATTTTGAAGCTTATACAAATATTAAAGACCTGACCTTTCCCTGCACACCTATGAGGCTCTCATTCTCTGTTCTTCCTTCTCTCTGTGTATGACATTCTTTGTCTCTCTCTCCTCCTCCCTTTCTATCTTCCTCTGGCTCTCCTCCCTCAGTGTGTCTCTCTCTAGCTCTCCTTCTGCTTGTGTTTCTCCAACTCTCTTTCTGTCTCTACTTATATGACTGTCTCTGGTTTACCTTTCTCTTTCCGTTTCTCTCTCTCTTGCTCTCCTTCTTTGGCTGTCTCGGACTCTCCTTATTTTATTGTCTGTTTTCCTCCCTCTCACCTCTGGGTTTCTCTCTCCCTCTCTGGTTCTCCTTTTGCTGCCTTTGGTGATCCTTCTGTGTGTGTCTCTCAGTCAACTTCCACATGCAATCAGACTACCTCACACACAGTCACCACACACAACCCACTCATGCTTAGGGGGATTTAAAAAGGGTGCCCTCCATAATTGTTGCATTGGGGTACAACAGTTCTAAGTTACAACTCTGTCGGAGAAAGTGGAAAACTACAAAGTGCAGGGTCAGCGGCATGCTGCCATTCCTGCTCTCTCTACAGTAGGCTTGCAGCTGCCATTCCTGCTGAAACCATAACTGGCCAGTCAAGGTACCAGTAGAAAGGTACAGACACATCTTTTTATTGTGTATATGTATGCCTCTGTGCTGTGCGTATATGCCTGTGTTTAACGCAGCCTCCCCAAATACTGTCATTCTCTCCACTTAGTCACTCACCACCCCTCTCTCTGCCACACACTCTATAACATTCTCCTAACCCTGTCACACTAACCCCCCTAACCTTGTCACACTAACCCCCCTAACCCTGGCACACTAACCCTGTCACACCAACACCCTCCCATAGTCACTTACCACCTCTCAAGCTGTCACACTTACCCACCCCCAACACTCACACGCACCGTGCCCCTCCAACCTTGTCATGCTCACTCCCTAACTATGGCATGTTCAACCACCCTCACAGCTACTCCCCAAACCCTATCACACTTACCCAACAATGTCTCTGTGCATATGTACCAGTGTATGTGTCAGTGTGTGTCTGTGTATTTGCATGTACAGTATCTCACAAAAGTGAGTACACCCCACACCTTTGTAAATATTTTATGACATCTTTTTGTGTGACAACACTGAAGAAATTACACTCTGCTACAATGTAAAGTAGTAAGTGTGCAACCTGTATAGCAGTGTAAATTTGCAGCCCCCTCAAAATAACTCAACACAGAGCCATTAATGTCTAAACCATTGGCAACAAAAGTGAGTACTGAGTGGAAATGTTCAAATTGGGCCCAAACTGTCAATATTTTGTGTGGCCACCATTATTTTCCAGCACTGCCTTAACCCTCATGGGCATGGAATTCACCAGAGCTTCACAGGTTGCCACTCAAGTCCTCTTTCACTCCTTTATGACAACATCACGGAGCTGGTGGATGTTGGAGACCTTGTGCTCCCCCACCTTCCTTTTGAGGATGCCCCACAGATGCTCAATAGGGTTTAGGTCTGGAGACATGCTTGGTCAGTTCTTCTCCTTTACCTTCAGCTTCTTTAGCAAGGCAGTGGTCGTCTTGGAGGTGTGTTTGGGATTGTTATCATGTTGGAATACTGCCCTGCGGTCCAGTCTCCGAAGGGAGGGGATCATGCTCTGCTTCAGTATGTCACAGTACATCCAGGGTTCCCTCAGTGAACTGTAGCTCCCCAGTGCCGACAGCACTCATGCAGGCCCAGGCCATGATACTCCCACCACCATGCTTGACTGTAGGCAAAACACACTTGTCTTTATATTCCTCATCTGTTTGCCGCCACACACGCTTGACACCATCTGAACCAAATAATATCTTGGTCTCATTTGACCACAGGACATGATTCCAGTAATCCATGTCCTTAGTCTGCTTATCTTCAGCAAACTGTTTGCAGGCTTTCTTGTGCATCATCTTTAGAAGAGGCTTCCTTCTGGGACAACAGTCATGCAGACCAATTTGATGCAGTGTGTGGCATATGGTCTGAGCACCCCCTCAACCTCTGCAGCAATGCTGGCAGCACTCCTAAGTCCATATCCCAAAGAAAACCTCTGGATATGTCGCTGATCACGTGTTTTTTCGACCATGGTGAGGCATGATCTGAGTGGAACCTGTCCTGTGAAACCCTCTTGCCTACCGTGCTGCAGCTCAGTTTCAGGGTCTAGGCAATCTTCTTATAGCCACGGCCATCTTTATGTAGAGCAATAATTCTTTTTTACAGATCCTCAGAGAGTTCTTTGCCATGAGGTGCCATGTTGAACTTTCAGTGACCTGTATGAGAAAATGTGAGAGCGATAACACCAAATTTAACACACCTGCTCCCTATTCAGCAAGATAGGATTCTTGTCTGGATCTAGTAATAACTATTAAAGGTGACAGTTTCAGGGTCTAGGCAATCTTCTTATAGCCACGGCCATCTTTATGTAGAGCAATAATTATTTTTTACAGATCCTCAGAGAGTTCTTTGCCATGAGGTGCCATGTTGAACTTTCAGTGACCTGTATGAGAAAGTGTGAGAGCGATAACACCAAATTTAACACACCTGCTCCCTATTCACACCTGAGACCTTGTAACACTGAGTCACATGACACTAGGGAGGAAAAATGGTTAATTGGGCCCAATTTGGACATTTCCACTTAGGGGTGTACTCACTTTTGTTGCCAATGGTTTAGACATTAATGGCTGTGTGTTGAGTTATTTTGAGGGGACGGCAAATTGACACTGTTATACAGGCTGTACACGTAATACTTTACATTGTAGCAGAGTGTCATTTGTTCAGTTTTGTCACATTAAAAGATATAATAAAATATTTACAGAAATGTGAGGGGTGCACTCACTTTTGTGAGATAATGTATATCAGTGTATGTGTGTATTTATGTGTGTGGCAGTTTATACACTACAAACAAATGCATGCCTGCATTCAAAATATTCTCACACGCATACTCCATACAAAAGCATGCTTACATTCAAACACACAAACACTGCACTGTGCTAAACACAACCCTGCAAGCATGGGCAACTTGTAGATCCCCAGCAAGCAAAGCATTGTGGGACTTGTACGACAGATGGGAATCTTTGAGGATGGCCCCAAAAAAAAGATCTTGTACCAGGGATCTCTCTACTTTAGTTCCAGCACTGCCCCTGCAGGCCCTCTGCATCTTGTATAGTGAAAACAGTGCCCAGCACATGTGATCACTAGCTTTCAGAAGTTCTCTCCAACTCTCGGGAGCCCCCAGCTGTCAGAGTGCTGCTGCAAGTTACCATGGCAATGCTCTGCACGACACGTAAACTGGACTTGCAAGAGTTGGATAGAGGAGCTGCTGGAAGCTTAAGACCATGTTGGCTAGGCTCCCTCTTCCCTGCACAGCACCTGGCAGCCTGTACAATGCCAAGGGATCACCAGATAGTGTCCCCCTTCCCTGGCCACATATATGAGATATTTAGGGGGGAATACAATTAATAAATGGTTAAAAGTAAAAATGTTTCCCCACACACTGCATCCTCTTCACCAGGGGTGGGGAACTTTCAGCCCTCCAGATGGTGTGGACTACATCTCCCTTGATGCTTTGCTAGCAATATGGCTGTATGTAGTCAAAAACATCGGGAGGGCCGAAGGTTCCCCACCCTTGCTCTACACCATTGATGCCAAAAAGGTAGATCCTCAGATGTTTTAAAACTACAGCTTACATGAAGCTTTGCCATTCTAAAGGCATGCAAACATCATGGGAGTTGTAATTCTATAACATCTAGGGATCTACTTTTTGGACACCCCTGCTCTACATAAACACATCCACTCTATCCACTCCACAAAAACACTGTATTTTCTGCACACACACACACACACACACTGCATCTTTGTGGGCAGACTCGGGGCCGGCACTGTAGGAAAACTCAGGGGTTGACGCCAGGGGCCTAAACCTTGAGCAGTGGTAGCCCTGGTTACAGATATATCTAAAACTATACCCAAGTGTCCATATAAAATATAAATTGTGGGCATATATAATCCCATCATTGCATTCACATATGCACACTCAGTCCTAAATAAAAAAAAAAGTCTGCACCTTTCCTCTTACAAACAATATGGAATGTTTTCAATATACTACAATATGTAGTGGATTTAGGGTTAAATTGCAAAATTGAGGCAACAGTAGCTGATCTGGACAAATCCAATAACTCAGTTGTAGTCACAGCTTGGCTACTTTAGCTTCAATTCAGCAATTTTGTTTCACTTGGGTGGTTAGTGCTCAGTTAACTCCAAGTATACACTACACATTACTAGGTGTTCTGTCATCTCCTGGCACACCTCACACATACTGCACGTCCGGTGCTGCACTACCTTCCCATTTTTATTTTTCATTTACAGTATAACTCAGTCTTCCACTCACCACTCTCATTAAGCTCAGCCAGATTCAGGCTCAAGATTGTGACAGCTCTAGATCACAGCAGAAGAGTCTTAAAATGGAAAAGACTTGTAACTGTAGTGTGTAAATGTAGCAATAGTTATTTCAGAGGGACAAGCAACCTTATACGGCTCAAGTGCACTGAGCAGACCGCAGCGGTGACCCAACAAAGTGGTAACACTAAAATTACTCTGCTAACTATACCATATCGCATGCTTTTTTGGTGATCCTTGAAGACAAGCACCAGGTTTTTTTCCTGTAAGAGTTCCTATAAGGAGAGAGGGGGGTTTTCATAAATTAACAGTGTTATACTTTGCATTTGTTTTTGTTAATTTTAAGGTTGAATCACTATTCTAATATCAAGTCCACAACAATACAGACATTGAGATCCTTTCCCTCATTATTATGATTATAGATCAGGGTGGTGCAGTAGACATTGCTTACCTAGATTTCAGTAAGGCTTTTGACACTGTTGCACATAGAAGGCTTATCAATAAACTGCAATCTTTAAGTTTGGATTCCAATATTGTTGAATGGGTAAGGCAGTGGCTGAGTGACAGGCAACAGAGGGTTGTAGTTAATGGAATATATTCGAAGCTTGGACTTGTCACCAGTGGGGTACCTCAGGGATCTGTACTTGGACCCATTCTCTTTAATATTTTTATTAGTGATATTGCAGAAGGTCTTGATGGTAAGGTATGTCTTTTTGCTGATGATACTAAGATATGTAACAGGGTTGATGTTCCAGGAGGGATAAGCCAAATGACAAATGATTTAGGTAAACTAAAAAAATGGTAAGAATTGTGGCAACTGACATTTAATGTGGATAAGTGCAAGATAATGCATCTTGGACGTAAAAACCCAAGGGCAGAGTACAGCATATTTGATAGAGTCCTAACCTCAACATATGAGGAAAGGGATTTAGGGGTGATTATTTCTGATGATTTAAAGGTAGGCAGACAATGTAATAGAGCAGCAGGAAATGCTAGCAGGATGCTTGGTTGTATAGGGAGAGGTATTAGTAGTAGAAAGAGGGAAGTGCTCATGCCATTGTACAGAACACTGGTGAGACCTCACTTGGAGTATTGTACACAGTACTGGAGACCGTATCTTCAGAAGGATATTGATACCTTAGAGAGGGTTCAGAGAAGGGCTACTAAACTGGTTCATGGATTGCGGGATAAAACTTACCAGGAAAGGTTAAAGGATCTTAACATGTATAGCTTGGAGGAAAGACGAGACAGGGGGGATATGATAGAAACATTTAAATACATAAAGGGAATCAACACAGTAAAGGAGGAGACTATATTTAAAAGAAGAAAAACTACCACAACAAGAGGACATAGTCTTAAATTAGAGGGACAAAGGTTTAAAAATAATATCAGGAAGTATTACTTTACTGAGAGGGTAATGGATGCATGGAATAGCCTTCCAGCTGAAGTGGTAGAGGTTAACACAGTAAAGGAGTTTAAGCGTGCATGGGATAGGCATAAGGCTATCCTAACTATAAGATAAGACTAGGGAGTAATGAAAGTATTTAGAAAATTGGGCAGACTAGATGGGCCGAATGGTTCTTATCTGCCATCACATTCTATGTTTCTATGTTTCTATGTTTCTCATACCTGGAATCAGAAAAGTTTTTTTAATTATATGTATTTGTAGTACCATAGCTTTATCATTCGAGGGTGGCATATCTACTAAGCGCTAACACTTTTTTGTTTACTATTTGGATGTTGAGTTGAATTGGGGAGATTCATTTGTATTGAGCAGCATTTTTATATTTTTAATAATTATTTCTACATATTATACTAGTGCAATTATTATTTGCTTTGCGCTCTCTTGTTTCATACTTTCTACCTTCTTACTTGAATGTGTGATAATCTGTCACCTTTAATAGTTATTACTAGATCCAGACAAGAATCCTATCTTGCTGATGTTTTTTCTTTTTTCTACTTGAAAAATGGAACTACTAATCAAGCAATCCAGCATTGGGTTTAAATACTAGAATTAGAATAGCTGAATGCCCTGACCATAGGAACAGAAAATGAAAGATTACATTTTAGAATGTATTATTAAAAAAAATAATATATATATATATATATATATATATATATATATATATATATATATATATACACATATATATATATATATACACACACACACACACGTATACTGTAGTATTGGATGGGTTAACACGTAGGAAGTTATCAATAGACACAGGTAATAAATGAAATAAACAAAAGAATTTACAAATATGAAAATGAGATTATCCATATTTGTGTTAGAGTTCACTAAGGTATTTACAGGATCAAATTAAACTAAGGTTTTTACAGAAAGAAAAATGTTGGCGAGAGAGAACCCTAGTTGCAAACAAATCATTATTTTCATGTGTCCTCAAGGAATCTTGGTTCTGAATCGCCATAGTGTTGAATCTACATAGGATGTTCAGCAGTCTCACGACGTTAAGCAGTGCAATATATCTAGACATTGACACAACTGAGCCTCTACAATTTACCTCCAAAGAACAACAATGTATCTAAAGGTGTTGTAACAAAAAGAGGGAACCTCAACTAAGTAGCATTCAGAGTAGTGATAATACAACTATAGTACAACACCAGACAGTAAGATAAAGTGTGACTAGATATTAGTGAATAACAGAAAAAGAAACAAAAAAGTTGAAAATATAATATTGCTAAGTACAGATTCTATGCTATGCCTTTGAGGGCTCCTGTGCTTGTAATACAAACAAAAAGCTAACAGTCTATCAGGTAAAGTAGTATTAGTTTGATCTAGCTATACCTGGACTCCAGATAATACACAAAGAAGTGTGATTTCTCTTATCTGTGAAACTTTTCTGAAATCTATAATAAATATGGCCACAGGCATGGATGACCCCCGATGCACGTTTCACCAGTAAAGAGGCTCTTCAGGGGAGCCACCTTAAATATGTTAAATATAATAAGATTTGTGTATGCGCATGTGTGTATCTATGCACATGTATATGTGTATTGCGTGTGTATGTAAAGTAGTTTGTATGTAAATGATGGAGTGCATGTTTACATGTTTGTGCATGTCTGTGTTTGTGTGGGTTACTGTAGAGTGCATGTGCTCCGTGTGTGTGAGTAGTGTGGGAAGTAGCAAGTCTAGTAATGTGCATGTGCACAGCAAATGTGTGTGTGTGTGTTTAAGTGTGTTTAAGTGTGGGTAGTAGTAGTATGTGCAGCATTGTGTGCAGTAACATGTGTGGAGAGTGTGTGTAGCAATATGTTTATATCAGTGTTTTCAACAATATGAGTAAAGTGTTTGTGTTGTAGTGTGGAGAGTAGTACTTGTAGCTATATATATATATATATATATATTTATATATATATATATATATGTACAGTCTAGGTAGCAGTATGTGTAGTAGTGTGTGTACCTGTAATCTCTGGTCCCAGACCTGTTTCTTCTCCTGGCCATTTCTCTTCACTTTCAAAAATTATGTTTGGTTGGAGGGGCCTGGACCATGCACAGATCAGTCATCTGAAAACAGCGAACCCAGAATGCAGCAGCATTGTTCCAGTCAGAAAACAGCAGACACCAGTAAGAGGCAGAGTAGATGACCCCATCAGACATGTTTCTGTAGGCTTGTGCCTACTTTGCCTAATAAGACATCCAGCCCTGTGTTATGGACTACGTTTTGCAATTAGAATTTCAAATTTACTAGAAATCAGTATTTATTTAATTGCAAAGTGCCATACTGCATTTTTATTTCTGTTTGCTAAATTGTCAGCCTGAAAAGATTTATCAAAGTGTTTTGTTCTAAAAATGGTTCAAACATGTGAAAAGGAAGGCGTCATCAATGGACTGTGCCAATTGGTCCAATTGATTTCCAAAGTATTTTAGATTACTTTTTAGAACAGAACACTTTGAAAGAATATTCAGACAATTATGGTTCTCCCATGTTCTTGCATGTCCCAAAAATCGCTTCAAAGAAATGGTGTATGGGACATGTAGTTCAGCAGACGGATTTAGTTCTATGCATGAAATGTTTCCCCAACAACTGAGCTATAGAGGTCTGACTATTTCTTTCTTAATGTACACTTTTGACTTCAAATAACATGCATTACATATAATTTATCACTCATAGCTGTAGCATATTGTACACAAAAATTTAATTCAGAATGGACAATAATTTCAGTTGAACACCATAGACATAAATAACCTGTGCTGCCAGAGAATGATAGAAGCGCCATTCTTGAGTCACATTTATAATTTGCCATTTTTTCTCATTATGAATATGCAAGTTGCAGGAAGAGTGGGACACTGCGTTTCTCTGTCTGTGCTTAGGCCCTAGCCAAGCATGTTAGTAAAGGGAGAGGAACAGAGCTGTCAACATATGTCATTTGTAACTTAAGTTATTTGTAATGAGCAATGCTGGTGCACATTTCTAAAAATGGAACAATTGTCATAGAAACCAAATGTATTTTCAGATTTGCTCTACATTTACCACTTTTGTCCTTTAAAAACTCCATTATTGCACTGCAAAGTAATCTGAAAACTAAACATTGTTTCTAGGAAGATTTAAAGAATATTTAAAACACTAAACTTCACACTAAAATTCAGTGTCAGTCTGAGTGCATTATTAAAGGAAATCCATAGTGCTATAAATAGAAAGTTGTATTCCTAACACTATAGTGCACTCTGGTCCCCCTCTCCCTTGCACCCTTCCTACTCCACCCCATAGCACATAAAGGGTTAAAACTCCTTTATTTTACTCACCCATGTGTGCTCTGCCCCCTCCAACATCATCTGGAGAGCAGACATAATGCACATGCATGGCAGGTGCTGCATTCACATTAGGTCTGGGTCCTATAGTGTCCCTTTAATCCAAATGTCATTCCCCCAAAATGTTATATATTAGTATATTGTTTAGCTCATTTTTATGCTACACCATATACATTTTTACTTATGGTGCAGTTAGATTAATATTTTATGCATTACAAAATAAGTCACCATTAGTGCCTATCTATTGGTTAACCTTAAGAGCTTTATTTTCAAGATTAGAGAAGTTTTATCTATGAATATTGTTATATGTGTACTACATAGTGTCAGGTATATGATAGAAATTGTGTAAAACTTTTACTAAACGCTTTACTAAGAAACTCGCTGAAGGACCGATTTATACACGTGTTTCTTCTTGGCTGATATCAGCAAATCTAGTGGCTAGTGTAGGACTCACTTTTTGAGGCTTGCCTTGACGGCACCATTGACTGGAGGCCAAAATTTTAACCTGATGATCCTTTTTCCATATTTGAATTTGTGAGTTTAACCTTGACTTGATTTTAATTCAAGTGGTTTAAACATATTGCACTATTTTTGGTTTCTTGTTTTTTATATTGATGTAGATTTACCGTATATTTTATAACAAGGAACTTTGAGGAATCTTGTAACTCTTCATCCACTAGTAATTTACCTTTCTTTTACATATATAAGTGTTTTACTTGCACTGGGGAAGTGTTGAACTATTGATTTGACACCAATTAATGTAGGCTGACTTTTTTCAAATGGGAAGGTAAAAAGGGAAAACTCAACAATATGGCAAGATGGGAATGCAACTGCCATGTGAATAAAAACTAGGTGAATAAGATTTATGGAAAAAAGCAAATGATATGGCAAAAATGAGATTTACGCATCTTTAGCATATGCAAAATACTGCACTATTTTGATCACTCTGAATATCGTTACTAATTATTATTTTTTTAGTGATATAGTGAAAGGTGATTTTGTAGCAAATAAGTTTGTCAAATTTGATATACAGAAACGTGAATATGTCATTAAAGATGTAAAAGTTGAAAGTAATATAAATATGTATAACACAACAAACCAATTTTAAAGTATCAGTCTGTATAATTAAATAGAAACTGTACAATTAATTAGTTTCAAAGCTTTATTTCAGAAATCAATGATAACATGATTTGAGATTTATCCATCAACAATAAATGGTAAGTAATTAAGAACCAGCATTAGTCCATTAGTGTAGACTGAAAACTGTTGGGAGATATATACAATTTTATAGATTCAAGTTGTTGTTTTTTATAACTTAGATAAAAAAAAAAAACAACAACAACAACAATAATTGTTGATGTCCTGTGTGGATCTGTTTAGAATATACTTGCATAAAGCACAATCTCAATCAAATGTTGTAAGCTCAACTTTATAATTCCAATTGCAAGTCTTGATTTAGCAAATATGTACAAAGGAATAAGAACCATCAGCATTGGTTAAAATGAAATAGTTGATTGGAATGACTGCTCAGAATTCAATTATTTAAAATTAAAGAAATACAGTTATCGGCTTGTTGATAAGTTATAATCAAGTATTATAAAGTAACAAAAATAATCACCCATTATATATTATCAAAATCAAGGACATAAAAATAAATATCAATATAATATTTGCTGACTTTATTTTTGTGTATATACACATGATTTTTCTCACCCCTCCTGGGTAGTATGTATACCATCCATGAGGTATTTTAGGCGGTACTAATGCATGTCTTAATGTATACACATCTTTAGCCTAATTGATTATATTTTCTTTGAGGTATTGATTTTGTCCATAGTCTTTTTTTTGTCACTTGATACTTGCTCTAATTCACATCACACTAAGATAGAGAGATAGAGTTCTCCTCTGTAAGGTACTGTGGTAGCATTACATGGAACCACATGAAAGATATACGTATATATATATATATATATATATATATATATACACACACACACACACACACACACACACACACACACACCCCCCTTTCAGTTACACTATTAGCAATTTTATATGCTTTGATCTACTGTAAGCAAATGTGTGCAGTATCTCTATATTTATTGCTTGATGTGCTCTTTACAAAGGATACAGCTAATGAACTCTTGCTTTATTACGGTGTTATTATTTTTAGTAAAGACTGTGCCTACCAATCTCACACAATATTCATTTACTCACAGCTGCTTTTCATTAAATAATCTTTGAGACTTGCACTATCAATAGCCTGTTTAGGTTTCTGGAATGATAAAGCTGTTTAAGTCTCTGTATTTTGCTGACTTTGATTCTTTATACAATTGAACTGAGCAGCTATCTGACCCTAGGGAGAGGTTAGACATCTTCTAGATCTAGAATAAAACTAAAGGGACACTGTAGGCACCCAGACCACGTCAGCTCATTGGGTGCTGTGACCCTTTTGCACTTAGTGCTGCAATGTAAAACATTGCAGTTCCATAGAACTGCAATGTTCACATTGCAGCTCTAAGTCTGCCCTCTGTGGCTGTCTATCAGACAGCCATGAGAGGGCTTCTGGAATCCAAAATGACTTTTGGTCCGTTATCTGACGCTAGATGTCCACAGACCTCCAGCATCAGATTTTCTCCATAGAAAAGCATTGAATGCCTTCCTATGGGGAGGTCTAATGCGCACACGGCCATTGCCGCACATTAACATTAGGCCTGACCCAGCGCCGAGGGACAATGGGGCTGGATTCAGGTAAGTGGCTGAAGGGGTTTCTAACCCCTTTGGCACAGAGGGAGGGGGGGCACTCCAAGAGCCTATAGTGCAAGGAAAACGGGTTTGTTTTCCTGGCACTATAAGATCCCTTTAAGGGATACATGACTCTCATCAAATTCATCTGTAGAGTCTGCAGATACTGCTTATAATTCATAGCACTGATAAACGTTGATAATATTAACTGTTGTGGACTTATGACCCATGTGATCCTTAGCCTCCCAAACAAATAGATGACCATCTTGACGAATGCAATGCACTAAAACAAATGGCCTGTCAGAAGTTAACCATCACTGTCCTATAGCATCTCACAAGTATTCACTTAATAAAATAGAGCTTATTTGTTCAGTATCAGTGAAAACAAATGTAAGTACAGCGCAGCGGAATATGTTGGCACTTTATAAATACCAGTAATGGCAATAATAATAAATATGTGCATCGCTTGCAGTAGCCTGCATGTACCTGTACCTGAATATTTTGAAATTCAAAAGTGATTTTAACACACCTGACTAAACATCTTACAACTGGCATTTTAATACATTTCATATCAACTACATCATTTGAAAATGATTTAAAAAAAATTAAATTAAAGTACCATAGCAATCAATGCATCTTAAAGGTTAGCTATAAGAAAAAAAAAAAGAAAAAAAATAATATATATATATATATATATATATATATATATTTTTTTTTTTTTATTAATATTGAAATGACAAATTGACCTCATGTTTACCCTTACAGACATAATAACTATCCGTGGATATGCACTATTGAAACAGTTTGTGACTGAAACTTTCATGCAGTTGGAGTTTCATAGTTGCCAGCACCTTGTCCCAATTGCATGCATTAAAGCAGAACCACAGAAAGTATATTTCTTACCTTGGTTCTAAAGGGCTCTTCTATCTTTATCAGGCGGCCATCGTGTAACTGTATTTCCACGCTGTGCCTACAGTACAGTAAACTCCTCTCCTCAATCTGCTGTTATCTAGCTCATGATCCTTCTTTCCAGCATTATTTTAACTAAGACAAGCAACGGATTGAAGTCACCGAGACTGATTGGTTTCCTTTCAAAGCTCCTGCTTAATAAGCAAGTCTCAGACATGAGGAGATTGTGCAACTGATAGAAAAGCAGTATTCAGCACTGTGGCTAAGAACAGCTAAAAGAGGGAGGAGAGATTGCCGAAGAAACATCTTGGCTCTACAAAGAATGATTTGTAAATCAGTAGGGTGGGGTGCAGCCAAGAGGAGGGCTTTCTTAAATACTACTTAGTAATAGACTAGATCTCTCTCTCCATCAGTTTGTCAGCCCTGTCAAATTTGCTTTAAGCAGATGACATTTCACTTCCTTCTTCACCAATGAAAAATGACCAAAGTGAATCTGCAAATCTCATTTTACACACACGTTCTGAGAAAGGATTCTCCTTACTACTTTAGGTATAACTTGATCAGCTAAAATACATTTTGAAAACTCACTTCTTTGTATGATTTAATGTTAGCTGTTCTTGCTGAGATTAAAGCACTCATTCTATCAGTGCATTCGCAGAAAGAAGCAAAACTTTAAAGATTTTAATTAAATTGCAATCAGATAATTGTTGTTATAAATTCGTTACTTTCAAGCTGTTCAACATTATTAGATAAAGATATGAAAAGACATATTGATGAAGTGTTATGCCATTATAATAGATACTAAGAAAGCAAAAACTCTTTTCCTACTTTATAACTAATAATAGGGATTATTTACTCATTTACTGCCAAAGGAAAAAGGAAAAAGTCATTGATATATGATTCTGTTTTTTGGTAGTACAAAGACGCCTGAATAGTTAATATGATAGGTAATACATGAGGAAATATGTTGGTATTTTATGTATAAATAATATGGATTAATTTACTAAACTGTAGAAAATGTAAATCCAAAAGTTAACATTTAGAAACAATTAGCTTATCTGGAAAGAATCTTCAACTCAAATGTTTTCAGTTTGGCTATTTTAGTCTAAATGGTGCTTTTTTTTTTTTTTTAACAATTTTACAAAATTTGCTATAATTTAGAGTTTACTTAGTTAACCCCATTGTGCTTCCTAATAAAAGTCACTAAAACCAACCATGGACTATATCATGCTATCATGCTAGAATGGGGCCAGCTTTTTCAATAAACACTCAATAAATTTTTTAAAAACAATTAATTAGATTTACCTCTAAAAACAACATGCATTTATTATGTAGTTTCTTCTGCGTGTTTCATTCCCTTCCAATGATTCTACTTAACTGCGGTTGCGCTCCATTCTTGATTTCATCACCACATGTCCTGTCAACTCTCACAGTATCACAGCTCTTGTGCCATTTTAAAAATAAACGTTGTCATTATGCACAGTACTCTATACAGTACAGTACTGTACATCAGTGGTCCACAACCCAGTCCTCATGGCCCATTAGCAGTCCAGGATTTATGTATTTCCCTTTTTTTTTATTTTTTTTATTTTTTTTACAATGGAGATACTTACAAATCCTGGACTGTTGGTGGTCCATGAGGTCTGGGTTGGGGATCACTGCTGTACATGACTATAATGCATTAATAACTTGCATACATGATAGTAGTATTGTCTACAATCTACGGTTTCAGGCATACATGGGTAGATCTTAGTATATATTCCCTGTGGATTCGAGGGTCATATGGTTTATGAAAAAAAAAAAAAAACAGCTTACTGTCTGCAGCCTTTACAAACCGTCTATTTGCCCAACCCCAGACTTTGTGCCAGGGAATATATTAAGCAAAAGCTTCTCATTGGCTGGAGCCACCCTCACTCGCTTAAACACACAATTGCACACAGTCTTGGCTTGGAAGCTGAAGTGCTTTGTGTGTCTAAACTGTTTCTTAGGCCTGGGGGTTTATTTACTAAATAGTGAATAGCACTGAACTGTTAAAAGAACCAAAAATGTTAGGAACAAAAAAAATTAAAGAAAAACTTTCATATTTTGGCTATTTTTCTTAAATTATGTAAATCAGTAATTGACTAACCACATTTCACATTTTCTCACTTACCACATATTTAAAAAAAAACAAACATCTTGGAGAATTGTTTTAAATAATATTTTACTGATATTATATGCATAATTAGTACTAAGGTGCCTCAGCTTTAAAGGCAGATTTACTGTCGGCAGTTTCTCTGTTTTTTTTACAGTTATCTACTGGCTAGCTTCTTAACCCTTCACTACCAAGAGGTTTGCAAAAAACAAAACAAATCCTCAGCATCCTATTACCGTATTTTTCGCTCCATAAGACACACTTTTTTTCCCCTCAAAAGTGAGGGGAAATGTCTGTGCGTCTTATGGAGCGAATGTGAAGATTTACTTACCTGTCTTGGAGCGTGGGCCGGCTTCACAGCGCGCTCCGCCGTCCAGGAACTTCTATTTCAGGTTCCGGTTTCCGGCGGGACTGAAAGGAAGTGTGCACACTGAGTGTGCACTTCCTTTCAGTCCCGCCGGAAACCGGAACCTGAAATAGAAGTTCCTGGACGGCGGAGCGCGCTGTGAAGCCGGCCCACGCTCCAAGACAGGTAAGTAATTATGGGACAATGGGAGGGGAGACACTATGGGACGAGGGGAGGGGGACACTATGGGTTAAGGGGAGGGGGACACACTATGGGAGAAAGGGAGGGGGAGACACTATGGGAGAAGGGGAGAAGGACACTATGGGAGAAGGGGAGGAGGACACTATGGGAGAAGGGGAGGAGGACACTATGGGAGAAGGGGTGGGGGACACTATGGGTCAAGGGGAGGGGGACACTATGGGAGAAAGGGAGGGGGACACTATGGGAGAAAGGGAGGGGGAGACACTATGGGAGAAAGGGAGGGGGAGACACTATGGGAGAAGGGGAGGGGAGGGGGACACTATGGGAGAAAGGGAGGGGGACACTATGGGAGAAGGGGAGGAGGCGACACTATGGGAGAAGGGGAGGGGGAGACACTATGGGAGAAGGGGAGGGGGACACTATGGGAGGGAAAGTGCACTATGGAACAATGGGAGGGGGGACACTATGGGATCAGAACACTAATGGACAAGGGTAGGAGGGGTTAAAGAACACTATGGGACAGGGAGGAGGGGTTAACAATCACTATGGGACAGAGGAAAGGGGGGGTTAAAGATCATTATGGGACAGGGGAGAAAAAAAAATATTCTGAACAAACTGTCCCATAGTAAGAAACACTATGGAACAGTTTGTTCAGAATATTTTTTTTTTCTGGGTTTCCTCCTCTAAAAACTAGGTGCGTCTTATGGTGAGGTGCGTCTTATGGAGTGAAAAATACGGTATTTTGATTGTTCTTAAAAGTTTAAAATGATTTTTTTGTTTCAGTATGCATAGATAGTGTATATATATAGATATATTTTACAGTATTATAACTTATTTCTATTTGTAAAATTGACATTTCCCCCACATATTCCAGCAATACTCTTACATTGGACCCATGTACTTCCTGCATATATTGTTAAATATACACTCATATTGTCACTAAATATATTATTATTTATATAGCGCCAGCAAATTCCATAGCGCTGTACAATAGGATATATGTTGCTGCATTACTATATCATTGCCTCTTGGACACACATATACACACACATCTATAGATTCACATACATTCATAGACATAAACACATAGACACTGTGATAAAGTGAAGGCAGATAGGCCTTTTAACCCCAGGGGAAGTACGTGTAGTTTGTGTGTTGCACAACACAAAGGATTGTTTAGTTATGGGCCCCTGGGGTGGAGCATTTGGAGAGAAGGGTGGGCCAATGCTCCACTCCACAGTTTAGTGGTTTTCTGGGGAGACATAGATCCAGGCCAGGGTTTTTTGGACGGTCTCCAACCCACTGCTTAGCTGCATTTAATGAGCTGTTGCAGTGGGAATAAACCCCTCCCGGCTAGGCAGGAAAAAGAGGAGAGGGATTGCTGGCTTCCTCCCAGGAAGCAGGTAGGAGAGAGGCTGTTCTCTCCAGATAGAGAGTCAAGGAGATTAGGCACTGGGAGTGCAGAAAGGAAGCAGTCAAGGCTGGCTTGGAGCACTAGGAGTGCAAAAAGGAAAGCAGTCAGGGCAAGGCTGGCTTGGAGCACTGGGAGTGCATGAGGAAGCAGTCAAGGCTGGCTTGGAGCACTGGGAGTGCAGAAAGGAAAGCAGTCAGGGCAAGGCTGGCTTGGAGCACTGGGAGTGCAGAAAGGAAAGCAACAGGCTAGCTAGCAGAGTGTTGCTATCTAATAAGGTTGGTGCAATATGTTTTTGTTAGTTTAACCCTGATAGAGAGGGATATACAAAGTGAGTCAGTGCTCAGACGAGCTAGGTTTTTGTTTAAAGGGAAACCTGTTATATTTATGTTTTCATTTGCTGCTGCCTCATATGTAAACTTACAAATAAAGTGCCTGGAATGAAGTTGCATTGAAAGACTGTGCATGGTTTTGCCCTAGAGGACCGTGCTACCTACAGACAAAGATCACAACACTCAATACACGACAGCAGCGCACACTCAGAGGCACACATTCATACATAAACCCAAAGACACACATCAACAGATACACATCACAGATATACATTATATTGGAGGTAGTGAGAGGGGAAGATCGTTTAATTTTACATTAGATTGAAAGTATAGTGCTAATGCAGATATCATTATTTCCAGCTCCTCCTCAGCTTGCTGCGGAAGAGAAGAGCAGCGGGCCTGGCGCGGGTGGTATTCAACTATGAAGATATGCAAATAGGGAAAAAGATGGCTTGAAGGGTGGGCTTGTGCAACTCTTGATACAGAGAGCTAGTCTCAGTATTCAGACGCTTGCAGCATCAGAGCTCCCCCTGCAACTGCGCTGTATGCACTGTGAGTGTAGTTATGGCAAATTTTATTTCATTTGCAGTAAACAAATTAAATTTGCAGTTATAAAAAGCATGTATAAATGATTTCCAGGTATGGCTGCATACCCTGACAATTATGTATACACGAGCCACAGCATGAATGGGTTAACAGCGTGTATTGGGTATTACTCCCCCCTTTATTTTAATACTTATTCCCATGCTGGCCCTGTTGCATGAGGAAAGGGGTGTGCCCATGGTTTTTTTTAGTGGCTAGGCAGCAATGGGTGCTTAGTCACT